CACACAGGATCGTGAGAAGTAATAGACAAAACAAGGGGTCACACACAGCATTTGTGCTTGACTGTCTTCGTCCAGCCGTAGACTCTGGGGCTCGGCCATGATCACTGTTCAGGTGCTGGGAGTTGAAGCAACTCAGCCCTGTTGAACAATTCCGCTCCAAGTGTCCGCGTGACATTGATTGCATCACACTGCAGCATAGTCCCTCTGCCCATCCAGAGCTTGGAAAAGTCCACTACCATATTTTTGTACCTTGAAGGGTACAGCCAGTATTTGACGAGAGCTGCTTGTAGACGATGGCGGTATGATAGGTAGACGATGAATCTTTTGGGGAAAATAGACGCAAATTGGAGGAGAAGTAGTCGCAGAAGTTCCTCTGCAAGGCTGGTTCGAAAATAGACGTTGCTCGTGAGGATCTTCGTGATTGCATTACCGCACCGAGTACAGTCGTACGGATGGTGTGAGCGAGGTGGAGACCAACTGAGCTAGTCCTAGTATGTAGATTTAGTAATGCTACTTTTGGTAAGGCTCGCTTTTAAATGGACCAGCTCAGAGCCTTCCCCACTAGAATGAGTAGCTACCTAGGTAGGTAGGTAGATCCGGTAAGGTAACATCCACTCGTCATGGGCCAAGGCCTCCATTGAGGATTGACTCATGCAGTCTCATGGTATCGAGAATTTCAACCATCAATTGTCCGCGCCCGTGATACAGAGGCCGGAAGACACACGACTCGTGCCTTGGGAGACCATGGATTCGCGCACGGGTCTCGCAGAAGTCTTGAGAACTCTGCAACGTATCGTGTCTTCACCTGACCTTGCCGTCTCTCGACACCTGGTTCCCTCGGATGGGAATGAGCCGGCAGACAGGTTTCCAGTTTTACCTCGAAACATCCCGACTCTACCACTTCCAAAACTCGGTCAAAGAATCGCGTCTTCATCCTCTGGCGATCAGCAGCGACGAGCGGATGATGATGACACGCTCGAGGGGCTAACAACGCACCTCACGACCACCATCCTTCCGTACCTCAATCTCTCTTCGCTCTCCCCAAGCTACTACGGCTTCGTAACTGGCGGCGCCACCCCAGCGGCCCTGCTAGGCGAGTTCCTCAGCTCCATCTACGACCAAAATGTCCAGGTTCACTTGCCGCGAGAGACCGTCGCGACAACCCTGGAAGTCGCGACCTTGAATCTGCTCGTGCAACTGTTTCGGCTGCCGGAAGCTGAGTGGGAGATCGGCAGACGCGGCTCGGGGGGCGGGGGAACGTTCACCACTGGGGCAACGGCGAGCAATGTCCTCGGCCTGGCATTGGGGAGGGAATTCGTGCTTCGAAAGGCACTGCAAAGGCGAGAAGGCTTCTCGGAGGCTGATTGGAGCTGTGGCGAGCATGGCGTCCCAGAACTCATGTATCAAGCCGGTCTGCGAAAGATCCAAGTGCTGAGCACGTTGCCTCATTCGAGCATCGCTAAAGCCGCCAGCATCGTCGGGATAGGAAGGAAGAATGTCATTTCCATTTCCTCCTCGCAGGCCGACCCTCTGCAAATCGACCTCGCCCGCCTGAGAGAGGAGGCGGCAAAACCGGGCGTCGTCAACATCCTCGCCATCTCGGCGGGAGAAGTCAACACGGGCCGCTTCGCCACGGATTCGCTCGACCAAATGACCCGCATCCGCAGAATATGTGACGAATTCGGGATCTGGATCCACGTCGACGGCGCCTTCGGGCTCTTTGGCCGCGTCTTCTCACCGGACGATCCTGGCCACGAAGAATTCGACGCGGTAATACGTGGAGTCGACGGCATCGAGCTCGCCGACTCCATCACGGGAGACTGTCACAAACTGCTCAACGTCCCTTACGACTGCGGCGTCTTCTTTACCCGCCACAAGACTCTCTCTGAAGATGTCTTCCGAAACGGCAACGCGGCGTATCTCACCGGCGCCGCCACTGCCACTACCACCACCGCCGCCCTTACCTCCTCAACGAGCAAGGGCAACAGGGTTGGGGATGTCTACGACGCGATCCAAAGTCCGTTGAACATCGGCATTGAGAACTCGCGCAGATTCCGCGCGTTGCCTGTCTACGCGACGCTCATGGCCTACGGGAGGACCGGATATTTGGAAATGTTGAGACGGCAGATCAGATTGGCGAGGAGGGTGAGCGGCTGGCTCCTCAGAGAGGAAAGGTTCGACCTCTTGCCGGCGCGTAGTGTCGGGGAGACCGAGCAGGACGCTCTGGCCAAGACGTTCATTGTGGTCCTGTTCAGAGTCAAGGATGAGGGACTGATGAGAGATTTTGTGACGAGGGTGAATGAAACTGGAAAGATCTATATTACAGGGACGGTGTGGGATGGGAAGCCCGCAGCAAGGATTGCGATAAGTAATTGGCAGGTGGATCTGGAGAGAGATGCCAAGTTGATTGAAGAGGTCTTGGACCAAGTGGCTGGAGCACGACGGTGAAGCATCGGTCTTGTAAGGTGATGATCAAGGCTCGATTGAGAGTTTGCAGGCAGAACCATCATTGCGAAGGACAAGCTCGTCCTGCTTTGCGTGGACCGGTGTGAATATACACTCAAAATACCGCACCGCCAATAATAAAAATCCGCTCTTCCTCTCTCTGCACCCACTGCACCACTTTATTCGCACTCTGTGCCAACGCATTCCTCGACGCCGTTGGTCCGGCCACACAATATAGTTCAAACATAGGTGTGACCCAAGCGAGCGCCGTTGCCGATACTCCCACGCTGTGATAGACCTTCACTGCGGCATGTTTGGCATGCACGCTGGCATGCAGAGTGTGGTACAGAGACATCAACCGCCGACGCTGTTTCAATGTCTCAAAGTTCGGTGAGAAGGATGGCATAAAAAATTGTACGTTGCCTTTTGATTTGTATAGGAAATGTCTCAGGACGGTACCCGCGATGATGTCTGTGGGTGCAGGTCGGCCGGCTTGCACAGCGGCATGGACAATGTCCATACTCTTGCTACGGTGAAACTCGTGGACGAGGTAATTCTTCATGCTTTGCAAATCCTCGAAGCTCTCCTTGTTGGCGCTCAAGAGGATGATGGCCACTGAGTCCTCTTTGGCGATACGTTCGTTCTGGGCCATTTCTCGGACCTGTTCCCCGCCCATGTCGAGGAAACTGACATACATGTACAGATAGCCGGTATTGTTGAAGCCGGGAAGACAGATAGGGATCCAAGAGTCCCCTCCACCAGCCTTGATTCCTTCGGCTTCGAATAGCATGTTGAAAATCAACTGGAGGTCACTTGGGTGCAAAGAGTGTTTCTTCGGCCGGATGACGCTGACGAGTCTTCCCCCAGCAACTACAAGCCCATATAGGAGGTCGTCTACTCGGGCTTTAATCATGGTGCTGTTGATAATGTTGCGGTGCGACTTCCTGATCTTCAAACATTCAAGTGCAGACAAGAGCGCAGAAGGTGAGCCTCGTGTGAAGCTGTCCGCAAGTGAGGACAGCAGGACTTCGGTACCTTGCAAAGGCCGCCTCAGGTCGGTCGACGGGCGAACCGAAAAAAGATGAGTCAACGTGGGCAATGTCAGAGTCGACAGAATCTGCATATACAGGGCTTCAAGCTGGACTCGAACTTGCGCCTCGCTCTCTGGAAGACTCGTAATCCCAACTAGGAACAGGTTTGTTTGCGAGAGGACGACAAACAAAACACCATCTGCCTGGAAACTTCCCAGCTGGTCACCTGTCTCTGAGTATGAGGAGATAATGGTCTGAATAATGCCAACATAGCTCGAGATGACCGCATCCGATCCATGCCTAGTATAAATAGGCTTCCCGGCCGCAGATAGTATGATGAAATGCTTGCGCTTGGAGGTCCAGAGCTTTTGGGCCGTCTCTTCGCCAACAATCTTCTCGTCCACCTCTTCAAACTCGTTATTGAAATCAACGTCACCGTCATCGTACAGACTGTCTGAATCTGCTTCGAACAATCCTCTGGAGCTGCTGAGTGATTCAGAAAGATGTTGTTCCTCTTGAAGATTTCCATCGAATATGCTTTCCGTATCTTGGATATACCGGCCAATTGGTGCGTAGCTCCTGATGCTGGAGTTGTCCTCCCCCACATCACTGATTTTGTTGCTGGTAGTGGGACGAATTGAGTGGCTGGAAGGCGTACGAGAAGCATTCACGCGCAGCTCTTTGGAGCCGTCGGGTCGGTTGTAGGCACTGACATCGGTCATGGACACGGCCGTCGTTGCTCCTCCAACAAGGCCTCGAGTAGGAGGACGGGAAGAGTGACCTGCGGAAGGCATAGCTTGCATCAGGCTTAATTCACATGGTCTCGGAGGAAGAGGTGGTCGGTCTCCTTCTGAGGCGGTCGAAGTCTGATGACTCCTCGTTGTCCCGGGACTACTTCTGTCCGTAGCATCCATCCTAGTAGCTGATGCGCGAGGAGCTGTCTGTCAGTTGCTCAATCTGGACAAGGTTGAAGCTGTCCGGTGTCCAGTTTTGGGGCTAGCCTCCATCATAGGCGCTCTTTCCCGCATTTGGGTCATTGCTCATGGCACTCATGATCGTCGGGAAGGAATACTGGCATCACTTCGGGGAATAGGTCGACGACCTGTATGTGAAGGTGGAAGAGACGAAAGTCGATGGGTCGCAGATGGACAATCGATAATGGTGCGGGCAGTGGCTTGGCACGGGTCCGAGGCTGTGACGCAGCCTTGTGGAACATGGGCTCGATGGCTCCAGATTCCTTTTCCCAAGTCAATCCATCCTGAAGCACATTATTAGAGGATAGCATGGGCTGTCGAGAGAGCCTGGTAGGCTGTCGATCGATCTATTATAGCAAGGCTCTGGCAAAAAGAAATCACTGGCGATTGCTAGAAAGCTGCGCACAGGGCGGCATCACCCTCGTCCCAAAGAGAGCTGAGCTGGATGTCGAATTACCTTCTCTTGGTGTCCTTGTCGTCATACTGGCGAATATTGCTAGAAGCAAGGTGAAGAGTGTTTCCTCCCCGGTCATCACTAATCCGCACCTGCTCAGAGCAGACAATCAACAATCTCGACTTGCTCCATGGCGACAGCGTTGTGAAGAGGGTACGTGCTATCTGTACCAACTTCGATTAGGATTCGCATGGGCTTGCAAAGCCAGACACCATGTTGTGGTCTCCTAATCGACAAGCACCATGAAAAATATCTTGCCACACTAGCGATAAATCCGCCATCTTTTGGCAAGTTTTCGTTTACCACCTTGAGAATGTTGAAAGATCTACCCCGTGCACAAGCCTTGAGCAGCTTCGCCGGTGCCGCACTGGATTGCAGATGCGACGGTTCGCAATCGATGAGGGTCTTAACAACATCTTCATGGCCAGCTGTCGCAGCCACGGAGAGTGGTGTAAGACTCTGTAGGTTTTCGCATGTAGGATCCGCGCCATGACACAAGGGTGTGACAACACACATGGAATTTGTTGAGTTCTCCAGGACTCTCTTTTGCGTGCTTATCCGGCTCCTAAGCGCGTCTGAAATGCTTTTCTGCTTAGCGGCTGCCGCGTGCAACGGGGTGTCACCGTTTTTATCCGCTGCCGATATATTGGCACCAGATTTCAACACTTTGACAACCTCCTCCTCAGCAGCGGAGGCTGCTACATGCAGGGGAGTCTCTACTTGCAGCCCTTTAGACGAGATATCTGAACCGTGTTGGAGGAATATGTCAATAACCGCGCTGTGTCCGCCACAGGCGGCGCTATGCAGAGGTTCCCTTCCTGGCTCGACGCGACTCCAGTACCGCGGGCGGTCACAGTGTCCCTCCCTAGCTTTATTCCATAAAATCACATTGCCCGAACCGTGCACTTCGGAAGACACATAGCCCAGCCCGACGTGCTCATGGTGTAGTTCCAAATCGGTGCCTTGTTCCAGAAGCTGTGTGACTATACCAGCCTGGCCTTTGAAGGCAGCCATATTCAACGCGCTGTCTGCTGTACGCGCCGACATAGAAGTATCGACGTTGAGCTCGAGCAACCTACTCACAAGGCCATCATGTCCATCGAGAATTGCGAAGTGGAGCACAGTCTCGCCCATTGATGTTGCTAAGATTGAGAGGAGCTCCATCGCTCAGGAGGCGCTGCGTGGCTTTCGGTTCCCGCCACATATCGCGACATTCGGATGTTCACGTCCAGCCACTTGGAGCGGGTTGTATCCAGGGTCGACTTGGAAAGTCGGAGACAACCCACGATCAATCAAAATGTTGATCAGCTCATCCTCATCATTGACCACACTGATCCCAAGCAGCGAATGTAAGTCGTTACTTGACAGAAACCCATTCAAGTCTCCTGAGATCATATCAAGCAAAGACCCTAATGTCTCCGGGAGGCTTGCACCTATGGCTGCTCGGATGATTCCTATCATCGTCTATATGGGAACATCGCTACCCAGACGAGGCAGCAGCAACTTGACCACATCCTGGTGCTGACCCGTAATAGCCTCTTTCAATGCGGTAGCGCTATCAATTAGCTCGCTAGGACCGTCATCTTTCACGTAGGGGTTGGCTCCATGCTCGAACAGAAATCTGACCTTTTCCAGTTGTCCTTTCCGTGCGGCACGGCGAATAGCAGATATTTCCTGTTGTCCAACTCAACCCCATCAGCACCACATGCAACAATATATTTCACCCTCTGCAGCGATCCCGAGTCAAATGCTGAGGAAACCAGCGGGCGTCCATCACTTGGTGTCGAGACGTCAAATCCTCGGCGAACAAGAAGTTTTACCATTTCCTCGTCTCCGCCACTTACCGCACTGCGCATCAGGTTAGGAGCCCGATTTGCCCATACATGGCGGAGCCATAACCCAAAAGCTTTTCCGCGGCCCGGATGGCTTTGTGCTCAACGGCTATCGGCAGAGGCGTCACATCGCGCTTGCCTGGTGATTCCACATCTACTCTTGCCCACAAACCCTAGTACACCAGAAGAGATACCATGATCTCATCATGATACTCCGCAGCTGTAAATAGCAGATGTCACCGTACTGGGTTTTGTCTCCAACGACGGAAGCTCCTCGTACTATATGAAATTTCTGGATATATAGTCAATAAACTAAATTAAGTTTTTCTTTTTTTCGATTATTAATAGTTTAGATCTTAAGATAGAATTACGTTCCGTCCACATCTTTTGACTTGGTAAGTGGATTTCACTGCAAATAGCACCACTCGATTCATCTCATTGAGATGGTTATATTGTAATGGAGCACTTCAGGGTTCGGCATGCACGTGCAACAACGCACAGGGGCCTGTCCGGAAGGTCGGGAATCGAGAAAGCTTTTCTGGTTGGCGCTGGCAAAACAACACCACCACCAACACCACCCTCCGAGAGGCAATGGCTGGGAAAACGAGCGCCTAGCACGGCGGTAGCATTCTTGGGTGAGAAAAGACAGGGAAAGGCACTCGGGAATAGGTAGACGGCATTAAAAGACCATAATATACTCTTCTCAGACTGTCAAGAGTGGCACACGGCCAGCACTGTCAACTGTTAAGCACGGCAGCTACGATTGCTTCCTGACACACCCTTGATCCTGATACATATGCTGTCACTGTTGACCTTCCTTGTTCCTTGTCCTCAGAAAGCTCAGTGGCCCCTTCCTGCCGTACAACCTCTCATCCACAGCCAGCATACTAGCCCATTTTTGTCCTGACATGTGACCAGCCAAATCACCTACGAGCTACTCCTCCATTCCAGCACAGCACAGCCACTTTGCCTTGTTACACCCCCCAAGTCACAACACCCGGAGACGAAGGATCTACATGGGCTGTGGAAGATCTATCAAAACACCAAGGAATGCTATACAAAGAGGCGGCGGCGAGGGTGTAGAATACTCGGTAGAGAGCGCCGAATAGTGGCATGAAACCTGACGTCACTTAATTTTGGTTGCGCTAGACTCTAACAGTCACGTTAAGCGAAATCGCTGTTGGACGAAATCGCTGGCGCTCTTTTATGTCCGCCATCTTGTGATCAGGTATGGCAGAGATGTGCAAACTATCCCTCTAAAGAATGCTCATCCGATCAACGCTAAGCGAGAAAGGGCCGCCCCATGTCTGCGACGTGTTTGGATCGCACCTCTTCCTCGGAAAGGAAAAACCACAATTCCGTTTCGAAGCCACCAGTTATGTTGGCTGACTGGTTCCTGCTTCCAGCTCAGCTTGCCCAGCCTGCTCAGCCTACAGTACTGCTTCTTGTCGAACACGCATTGAATTCAGCCAAGAAAACCCGTATTTATGGGGCCGAATTTTCTGGATCTGGTTAAGTAGCTCCGACTCTCCTCGCGAATCATCAAGACCGATGTCCAGTCTTGCCTTGGTGATTTCCATATTTATCCAAACGACAGTTCTTGCTGCTTGGCGCGGACCTCTTCCCAGAACCAAGAGACATCACCGGTAGGCATTCATGTCTGACCTCTGGGAGACAAATGTCTGTATTTGAAGGGTCACCTTATGGAACCACCTTCACTTGTTTGTGAAGTTCAATCATTCACATGCCATCACTATGTTCTGGTGAGCCTCGAGCGTATCTCGTCTGGATGAACATCCATACTCTCACGGTGTCTGGCACATTTGAGACGGCAACCGTTACATAATGCCTCAGTCGTGTTGATCGGCCCGGGAACACCAACTCCAAATACCCCAGTATGATCAGCCCTCTTCTCCCGCACGGACCGGCAACCCACACCTTGGATGTGGACTGCGATTTGGGGGGTACTTCTAACTTCGAAACTGTTTACGAAAGCAGCTTGCGCATTACGAGCTTCCCCGCTTTTCGCAAACACCACAGCCCTTTCTTCCGCCCAAGGCCGTCAATCTCGACTGATAGGATCCACAGCCAGGCCGGCTGGATACGAGAAATGCTGGGCTTCGTGAGGCTGGGCTGCGCGGCCTTTGGACCCCGACACGACCTTTTACGCATGAATCGGTGGCATGGCAAAACCTGACCACTAGAAAACATGACTGCTTAACAGAGGCACCAAATGGAAGTAGCAAATTGTAGGATACTGCGGGTGAAGCAGACAGCTGTCACCGACACAGCCGACGCTGGGAGACTGTTCCGTCGATACTTCAGAAGCCTAGACCTCGCCTCAATCAGGCTGTCGACGCCTTTTGCCATTCCATTCATTAAGAAGTTTATCCTCACCGACCGAACTCCGAGCAGACAAGACTCACTACTCAGCCAGCTGTGCATTGACACGTTGTCTATTTCCCAAAGCCGCGCTGCCCAGCTCTACTGGTCGTCCTCCAACCCTCGTGTCCGGGCTTCTTCGCCCCTTCCGCCTCTACTCAACCCTTCAGCCGAGGAACAGAACAGGCAATCGACTCGAGAATCATACAAGCCTCCTTCAACTTCCGGAGTCTGGGGTGTCCGAACCCCGGCCATCAAGCAGTCTGATGAGCTCACAGAGTCTCCGTCCCAAAGGTATATAGAGCGTCTGGTGAGGCGTCCACATCCTCTTTCTCTTCTTCTCTCTCCGTCAGCTTTACATAGCATAATTATGAGAAAAACTTGCCTTCGTTCTACGAATCTCCATACCTCTCGCTATCCCTACAACAGCACCAGCCGATATCCCTTATTGGAAACGCCCACCCAGCCCCTTACTACGCAACAACCAAGATGAAGCTCCTGTCTCTCGCTCTTCTTGTCGCCTCCACCAGCGCCGCAGCCCTCGAAGCTCGTGGCGGCGACTATGACTACAAATGCCCTACTGTTACCACCACGGCCTATAGCTACTACACCAACTATGTCACTGTCACCAAGACCGATATCTCCTATGTGACTACCACTGCCACAGCTTATGTCACCGGTACGTCGTCTCACCATCTAGGCAAACTACCGATAGCATTGGTAGTGTTCCTACATACCAGGTCATGGTGGTGGAATGGATTGACATGTTCGATGACATGACATGACACCTTCATTTACATATGCTGACCCCATACGAATATGTATAGAGAAGTGCAAGACATATGACAAGAGCTGGTAGATGATCAACCACCCAGTCAACCTCCCACTTACCGAACCAACCAACTACTCATTCACTCGCTACTAAGGTGAGAAGGGAGAGGCGGTGCAATGAGGGAAACAAAGGCACAGATAGCTAGTTTTTTGGAATGAATAATGGTTAATGGTTAAATGCACATGGGATACACGAGTAATGTCTTCAGAAAGCAAAACTTTGCTCAGGTGTGATCTTACAAGCTTATTTCAAACAACAGTGATGATGAAATGGTTTCTGCACTGCATGATGCAAATCGTCACGCTCTGGGGCGGGTTTTAAAGACATAAGAGCGAGTTGAAACGAAGGAAAGGACTTGGGCCGTAATCAACGAGGACAAATTAAGTAGAGCGGCGTAGTTCGTATATAGACCCAGGTAAATTGTAATCGCCCGGGTAGTATGTGCATATGCCTTCGTCGGTTAATCTGAACCCACATCCACCGGAGTAGCCCTCCACCAACACGTCCTTCTGTCTTCCAGAAATCCAAGCTATCGAACTCATCAACCACGCCTCAGGGGCTGATGTTGGCCTCTTCAACTCCTTCCTGGTCTCGTACCTATGCTGGCGGCTCGTGGGCTCTGCACAAACGGTCCCCAGTCCTGGATTACTAATGGTATGGGTCCAAATACCCACCCACCAAAAAGACACTTTGAGCGAGTGCATCTCGTACACTCCCGCAAAAGGTCGGCCATCTTCCGTTCTCATGACGCTCCAACTTGGCGAGTGAACTGGTCGCAGCTTCTTCAGGCCTTGTCTCTCTTGTCATGAACGGCAAAGCGCTTTCCTCTCCGATAGGCACATTTGAACCAACCCCAACGTAGGTCCCGAGACCGGCCCCTCTCCTGCGATCATGAATTCCAAGACGGACGAGTCTTGGTGTATATTATGAGATGGCTTGATGGTAGATTCCCCGTAGACATTGCAGAAAAGCTATTCCGTAGTCCAACACTTCTTCGGTTGTGGAGTCAAGAAGCTCATAGTCCCGACAGCGATAACGTTGGATTTACTTGTTCTAATTGGGCATCATGCAAACATGAAGCATGCTTCAAAGATTTGCTGGATGGAAAAGTCCTCATAGCAAAGAGTCTTCGAAATCATTGCGAGAAAAGGACTCGACCCTCTGTACCAATGGAGCATGTAGAGCATCCTCCTCAGAAAGCATTTGTAGCCGATCGCGCGGGGACCAGCTTTGGCCTTCCTTGGCCACTCATTTTCTTGCTCAGGTCAAAACAGTCTTCGCTCACCATCTAGGATCAAATGATATATTGCCATTCGGTCTTTCCTTCGCGAGAGTACTCTCGAAAGCACGGGTTATCGTTTCTCCGTCCGAACCACCATCAGACACCTCGGAAAGCTGAGGGTTGAAATGGTGGTTCGATAGGAACAAATGCAAACGGCGTCGATCCAGAGCACTGGGCATGTATTGCTGGCTCGATAAGAACTCGAGAAGTTTCTGAGACTGCCCGCAACTTTAAATGGGCAGCCGTCGACTTGGATGAAGGTGGAACCTTGCGTATCTCCCCATACATACGATGGCGCTAGGTAGGGATTGGCCTGATCGACGGAAGAGTGCTCCAAGAAGCATTCAATTGGGTCGTCCGGCAATCTAGGATTAGGATCAGGAGCCGGATTTCATTCAGTTTGAGCGGTCTGTATTCGGGTTTTCGCTCTCTCGTGAAATGTTGAGAAGAAGAGCCATCTTCAAGTCTGGCTCACTGTCAGATTCGGAGTCTGTCTGAACGGAGGGCCCATGAACCACAAAGGAGATCGCTCCAAGGGTATGCCAGCCATCAAGCTTGTGCTGATGGCCTGAGTTCGAACGCCGAGAAAGAGTCAGGTCCAAAATGTTGCGAAAAATTATGACACAAGAACCACAGTGACGCATAAGAATGAAAGGTATGATCTGAGGCCGATTGAGGTTCAGCTCACAATGCCAAGCGAAGCAGGAGCTGCATACACGAGGTCGAGGGTCTAGAGCCCAACCGAGACCTTGTGTCGTCCATTAGCGAAGAGTAGCACCTCGTCGCTTGAAAGCGTGTTTCGATTCACAAAGCCATTGCCTGTGTCAGGGCATCGCTGACGATACGCGTCGTTAGCCTTCGCCGATGTCAACTTCGGCCATCTCGCCCGGCATCGTGCGCTCAGTGGGAAGAAAACAGCTATGCGAGGAGTGAATACGAGGTAAAGACTATTAGTGCGGTGGAAATGTCGGGACGTAATAGTTTTAGCGTCCAAGCCGGAAGTAGGGTGAGGCGCCCGCACCCTTTACTCATCTTGGCGGCTGCCTTGTTAGAACCACCGTGTCTCGTGTCATTTGTTAACGTCCAAGTCTCCCAGACATACCAAGTACATCTATGAAATCAAGTCAAGACTGCGTCGTCCGCCGCATATTATCCTGACTCACTGTTGAAACCCTTGTCGGTATCTCGAACGGATCATGATACCTTTGGACACTCCTCGATAGCACCGCCGTCTCAAGTTGTCAAAGCACCGACCTCGCGCAACCCCTTGGTACACGTCCTTGATGGCCGTCAATTTGACCTGCCGGTAACTGAAACTGGCATTGCCAGCAGTGTGCCACCGACGGTCTTGTAATGGCCACTGAGGCCAAAGCCATTCGCCGCTATCATGCGGGCGTCGAGAGAGCGCTGGGCTTATGGGATGCCACGAATGAATGGGCCGATTATATTGCCTTTCTGAGTCGGTTGGCGAAGGCCCTACAAGCATCTCCCCAAGATGCAGAAGTTCCATTCAAGTCGGCTCTGGCTAAGTATCTGGCACTCTGTTTGAAGCCATCTCTGCCATCGGGCGTGCACCAGAAAGCTCTAGAGGTCTACAATCTCATCTTTACTCTGCTTGGGAAAGATGGACTGTCTCGAGACCTAGCCATTTGGTTTCCCGGAGTATCCCACACCCTCACATTTGCCACACTGACAACGAGGCCTCTGTTCCTCTCACTCTACGATGATCATCTCCTGCAATTGTCCAGTCATGCACTGAGGCCTGCTTTACGTGCCATCATCTTGTCTCTGCTCCCAGGAATTGAAGAGGAGAATAGTGAAGACTTTGACCGGACTCTGAGCACCGTGAACCGCCTACGACAAATCTTTGCGGATGACAGCAATGAGGAATTCTTCTGGCAAAGCCTGTTTCTGGCCTCCATTACAAGCACATCCAAGCGTCCGGGTGCATTGGTCTACTTGACGCGGCAGCTCCCTAAACTAGGCCCGGTGGTCGGTCAGTTGCCTGAAAACGTCGCTGAAGCCGGGGAAGCAGCTGAAGCATTGCAAGAGGCCATCAAGGCTGTGACAACTCCTGAGCCTGGTCTGCTTGTTCGATGCTTTGCCACGGGACTCCAAGACGAACAGCCCCTGGTACAGCGGGGTTTTCTCGATCTCTTAGTATCACACCTGCCTCTAAATGCTCCAATACTCCAATCTCTCGTCGTACCCATGGATTTAGACATCCTTGTCATGTCCGCCATGTCGGTCGTACTCAGAAGGGACATGAGTCTCAACCGCCGCCTGTGGACCTGGTTTATTGGCAGAGAGGATAAGCGAGAGGGATCCACGGACATGGTTCCTGGCGCATTTATCGACGCCCCGACCCCCACGACTCCAAAAACCAAGGACAGGGTACATGCGAGGCATGATTACTTTGCTGCTTACGGTCTCAAGCCAGTAATCCGAAGTCTGGAGAAGATGCTTCGCAGGGAATCATTGTCTCCCGCCGACAGAGCTCGTCCTTTCCGAATCATGCTTTCATTGATGGACCGTTCGATCATCGGAAAGCCGCCTGTCGAAGAACTGTTCGTACCAGCAATGCAAGATCTGCAGAAGTATCAGACAGCTGCTCCTTCACAGTCGTCATTTGACGAGGTGTTCCGGAGCGCCAACGTGTTCTTTGACGCGATTGAGCCCCAACTGATCACCAATCAGCTCCTTCGACTTCTCATGCAGGGGGATCTGAATCTTATTGAATTTATCTTCTCAAATTTCAACCTGCAAGAGGAAGAAATGACCACCATTCATTTACCCATGCTGTGCCTAGCAATTTCGGAAATGCTTCTTGAAAAGAAAGAGTCTGAGTCGCGTGAAGGCAATGACCGGGATGATTCCCACCACGAGCGATTATCAAGGCTCATGGATGCTCTTCTGAGCTTATTGCCACCTCATCCGGGAGGCGCTGCTCCCGATGCATCTGCTCAAATTTCGAAGCAAGGTTGGCTGAAGAAGCTCAAGACCCTTTACGAAGAGTCTTCTTATGTGAAAAAGGCTATTTTCGAGCTGATCCCTCCGACCTCCGCTGCTCAAATTCTGCTTCGAAACATTGCACTCATCATCTTGGACTGCCTGAACCACCCATCCAGCAAGACAATGATGGGACCTCTCACTAATAGTCTCATCAAAGCTATTGCCAGAACCAGCAACTTCCAGCCACTGCGTGAGCTAGGATTCGGAGACCAATTGTATGGGCTACTGAAAATTCCGACAGTGGACATTAATGTCAAATACGAAACTGTCAGAACAGTTGCCAGGATTGTGGATAGTTTGCATGCATTTGACCCGAGTAGGGAAACTCTGACAGAGCCTTACCTTCTCCGGCTGATACCAGAGCTGATCGCACAACTCTGGGAAGTTCTTCTACCCTCTACCCCACAATTCCATGTCGAAGCCGTGGAACAGATTTGGAACCTTCGCATGATCTCGCAAGAGCTCCTTCTCGTGGACAGCAAGATAGCGGATTTGATGTGCCAACAAGACCAGGAGGTACCGTGTCTTGAAGACCAGCTGGCGCGATTCTCGACGCTATGGATGCATACTCGCTTCCCGGAGGTCAATGTCGAACTCTTCTCTTCCAAGCATGGTGTCGATGAAGACGAAGTGCCGTGGGCCCTGCTACGGCAGCCGATCCTAAATATAATTGACGGACTTGATCCCTCTCTACCAGATGACCGGCGGCGGACGTGGTTGAACAATCTTCCGTCAATTCGGCCCATCTTCAGAATCATCCATGCTGAGTCAACGAGTGCCTCGGATGCTCAACTCTCATTGCTCGCCTTGCATAGACTTCGAAAGGTCTTGACTCTCGCGCGGCAGTCGAATTTGCAGCGAAGTGAGCTCTTCGGACGCGAGGGTTTTTCGGAAGTCCTGCTAGACATGTGCGTTGGGCACATTGCAGATGGGAAAGAGGGAGAAGAAATATTCACGACGACATTGTCAATCTTGCGCTTGATTATCGAAGAAACAGACGTTCAAGAACACCATGCTCTGGTAACTTTGCTGTTGAAGCGACTGACTGAGATGCCCCAGGACAGCCCGTCACAGGAAGAAATACTAGATCTGTTGCAGACAATGTTCGCAAGACCCAACTTCGGCAGTCCACCCAATGAACTCATCCCAATCTTGATTTCTGGTATCTCGTCCAAAGCTATTGATTCAACGATTGACAAATGGATCACATTACTGTGTAACACAATCCCGTTGTACTCGACTCAAAATCTGTTCGCCAACATGCTCAAGCTGACAGCATGCTTCTGCGATCGGATCAAAGAATACTTTACCTTGATGCAGCAGCTCTACGAGAGGCCGAAACCAAATGTTCGGTTCAATGGAGATAAATCTATCACAGTGGCGAAGCATCCAGAAAGATCGGTCAATAACCTACTTGCGGGACTCGAGTACATATTAGCAAGAGCACACACACACCTTGTAGAGCACGCCTCAGGGGTCGAGGCAAGTTCCAACAGTTCGGAAAAATCTCAGTCGCGCTCGATCGCGAATCATCGATTGACCGTGATTCTCTGCATGCAGGACACGATCAAGCTCTGCGGTGAGATTTGGGCTTGGAGAATGCTCAAAAGGCCATCAAATTCCGCTCCAGACAATAAATCCTTTGCGTATATCTCCACGCGGCTGCGGACGAGAACCCGACGGATCCTGGAGCATCTTGCGGATGCCGAACCGCAAGAATGCCTTGAGACACTGATGGGAATGTGGGTCGATGCGGCTCGACGAGATTCTCAACAAGACATCACTTTGAATTTGATGCAAAGCCTCGACGGCGCACGACCCAAATTTATGATGCCGGCCACGTTCAATGCGATCTACAACCGAACCAACCCTTCAGCGCTGGATCAGTCTCAGAAATCAAGCTTATCAGTGGACGTTAGTGCACTGGAGTTGATGGCGTTTCTGATAGCCTATACGACCGCGCTTGAGGACGACTTGCTCGAAGAGATCTGGACTGATTGCACTGCGTTCCTGCGGGAAATTCTTGCAAACCCTATGCCGCATCGTCAAATCCTGCTTAAGCTTCTGGAATTTGTGGCTGTTCTGTGCCAGAAGATGGAAAACACCAATTTTGGAGAAGTTCTGAAAATGCGTCGAGAATTGAGCGATCTGTGCGCGAGACTTCTCACGGCCATTTTTACGATCAGGCCTGCTGGGCTTGACTCAGCTTCTCAGCCATTGCCGGATAATCAGACTCCGCCGGGGACGACGGTCATGCGGCGGAAGAGCGCGCTCCAAACTGGCAATGCCATTGAGGTCTTACGTGAAGCTCTGCCTATTATCGGCAATGCACTTGGAGATCAAGATAGGCTAAGTGTCACGCTTCCCGGCGTGGCCACCTATGTTACCGGACCAGCTCTACGGTCAAAGCAGTTTCCTCAAACTGTGAACATGGACATTTTGCAACTTGTCCTTCTTATGGCCAAATCCCAGCCGAACAACAAGGTCTGGAAGAAAGATATCCAGGATGCCATCAACGACAATAAGTTCTTCCAATCGGCTCCTTGGTTGGCTGAGACAGGATGGCTTCCAGTATTGAAGCAGCTTTGGCTTTCTGACAAAGGGTTGATGTCTGAGTTTGTCTCCCGATTGACGCCTCCAACGACGGCAGGGTTGATGTTTGGCGTTGGAGCTGCTGCCGCCCGGACGGAGGCCGACAGGAAGACGCAGCTCAACCTGCGGCGGATTGCTCTGCTTCTGTTGGCTGGCGACATGGACGCTTTCGTGTCGGATCTGGGCCAGATCATCAACAGACTCGAGGAACTATTGACGGCCACACCATCCTCGTCTCCATCGTCTGGCACTCGCGGGGATGTCTACCTCGTTCTTCGCGCCGTGACATTGGCCTTTACTCAGGTGCATCTAGTCTCGATATGGCCGATAGTGGATGTGGAGCTGCGAGAACTCTTCACGAGCATGCAGAAGGGAGGAGAACCGACCTTTACCAGCTATGCACAATTGCAGGGAGCCAAGTTGTTGGACCTTCTCCTGCTCTTGAAGCCAGAGGAGTTCCAGCTGCACGAATGGTTGTTTGTGACCGACACGGTTGACGCAGTGTATCCTCTGCACGACTTCAAGTCAACAGCAATCGCGGACCTGATGGTCAGCAAGGGAAGCAATGAGGCAGAGCTTCCCACGGCGTCGGATCTTGGAACCAGGAGGCCATGGCTCTGCACGGATGAGACGCGGACAACCGAAGACGCCGTTACCCTTCTGCGGCCGTTCTTCCGGCAATTGAGTATTCATGCTTTTGAAGACACGTACAGTCTTCAACCGCCAGATCTTGAAGCGTGCAGGAAAGATCTGGTGGCGGACTTGTTTGTGGACTGAATAATAGTTCAAGGGCCAGTTGATGCTGTCGTAAGGGACAATGAAGAATGACATACTGGGTGATGAGGGACCTTGGACCTTGCACCGTTGGTGCCGTTGGTGGTGCTGTGAATGTAATGTTGGCTGCTCGGCACCTAATAGTTAGTCGGTCATGGCGGTTGGCCCCAAAATGTGGAGAAATCTACGCTGCATCAGCTTCGTGCTGCGTTCTGTGTTCTCGCACTCTTCCGAGCCTCCTTACGGAATATATTGCTCGTTCTTCGCGATCCCGCCCGAAACGTCGATCCCTCTCATAAACCACCGCAGCCCCGATTTCCTGAGTCTTGTTCAGCTCGACGTCCTCTTCTCACGCGCTTCTAACTGCGCCCTCCGCTGCAATCCACCTCGAAGCTATGTCGTCTCGACTGCTTGTCCCGCGCCTCTCCCTCGCGTCCCGAACAACCAGAGCTCTCCCCCAATTCCAATCGAGATCATTCCAGTCAACGAGCCGGAGATTTCAAGAAGCTGGTGCCGCGACGTCTGTACCCGTGAAAAAGCCCATGGGAGCTTTCAGAGGAGGGTGAGCTTGCCCCCGTGCCCCAGGCCCCGTCCCCCGCCATGGACGAACGAAATATCGCAGAGCTCCCAGGAAGCTGCGGCACGAGCAGTCTGGATTTCGAGACGAAAAGGAGGACTGAACCACTAATCTTCTGCGCGACCTAGGCTGTTTGGCTTCTTACTCGGTTCGACCCTGGCAGGCGCGTCCGTCTACTATTACATCCTTGAGGAGTACAAAGTCTCCAATGAGCTGTTGACGGAAGACATCTATGTATGTGATTCCTATCCGCCTCTGGCCTTTCACTGCCCGAGCTCGTCGCGACATCAAGTTTGAGCAAGCCCTACGGCGAGAAGGCCCAACACATCTGCTCCTCTCCTCGAAACTCTGAATACTGACACCCCGACCCTAGGCACTACAAGCCGCCGTGCAACGAATCCACTCGTACGTAACGGAACTGGAAAACAAGATGAACCAAACGAAGAAATGAACGACGCCCAGAAGGGGACCCAAAAGGAGGGAAGATGAGCGAGCGTGCTGCAGAAAGCAAGAAGAGGCAACAAGGTGACAATTCAACCCAAGTTTGTGGCTTTTGATTTAAGCGGAACTACACGGAGCCTTTTTCTCTCGGGCCAGCCAGAGCAAGCACATAATTTCAGTCAAGGGCCAGGACCACCGGGGAGGGTGCTTGTCGAGCAAAATGTAAAAACAAAATCAATCCCCTTCTGAAAACCCCTGTCCCTGAGCTGTTGTCTTCTCTCCCCTTGCGCACCAGGATCGTCAACATAACCAGCTAGCCGTCTAGGGTCCACTCACCATATCTTCACAGCTCACTCGCCGTGGCAGGAAGGAAACGAGATGGAAGGCATATGCAGCACGACGACGCGTGAGAGTGCCCACGACTGGCCGTTTCCGCCAACGCTCTCGCGGGCTTCCGGCGAAGCTGGTATCGGGGAGCGAGCCTTTGAGCCGCACACAGCACCGAATCGCCTTCTCTCCTTCTGCACATTGACGACAATACGACATCACAATCTCTCATTATGAAACGCTTATGCTGCACGATCACGCCTGACTTCGCCTACCCTTGTACCTTCGCACTCAAGGGGCTGAAGCAGATACTGCATGCTACATCGAGCGACATGAAGCACGAATCCGTTCTCCTTGAAAACGAGATGTTTGCTTCCTCCCCGGGCCCCGGGTGTGAGCATCAATTCTGCAAACCCGCGCTTCTGCCGTCAGCAGCCTCGACGGCCCTTCTGAACGTGTCGACCAACTCCCTCGTCTCCTCCAGCCCCACCGAGATCCGCACCTGCTCCTGCCTGACATTGTAGGTGCTCGCCCATTCGGCCTCGTTGCCGTACACACCCAGCGCATAAGGCAGGGCCAGGGTCAGATGCGCGCCGAGATGCGGGCCCTTGTGGACGTGGAGATTGTCGTAGAACGTGGTCGCGGCCTCGACGTCGCGGAACTCCACGCTCAAGAGGCATCCGTATCCCGGCCGGGGAAACTCCGGTGTTGTTGACCGCATGTACGCCGTGTAGTTTGCAAGAGTGTCGGCATTGACGGTCGGGTAGAAGACCTGTTTCACGCTGCTTGTAGGGTTCAGCGCTTCGCTGTGCAGGTACTCGACCAGTTTCTCCGCGTTGTCGTTCAGCACGGCAGAACGAGCAAGGTAATCTCGACTGTTGCGCTCCAGGGTTTCCGCATCGCGGATGTACAAGTTGTCGCGATGCTCCGTCTCGAACAGCGCCTTCAGCTCCGCGTATCGCGACGACAAGGGGCTCAGGACGGCGCTGCCGGCCATGACGTCGGCGTACCCGCTGAACGACTTGGTCAGGGAGGTGACGACGATGTCGGCGACGTCCAGGACGTCGACATTGCAGAAACCGCCCACGGTGTCGTCCACCACGACCAGCGCTCCGTGCGCGTCGGCCAGCTCTCTCAGCCGGCGCAGGTCTGGTGTGCTCAACAGCGGATTTGAGGGAAACTCGGCCCAGATGGCCTGTACTCCTCCTCCTCTCTTGCCCCGCTCCCACTCCCGCTGCGAGGCAAGGAGCAGGTGCTTCTCGAGCGATTCGAGGTCCTTTGCTGAGCCCAGGCCCAGGAAGTCGACGCCCGGGCCGAAATCCTCGAGCACGTGGATTGTCGAGTGGAAGGAGAAGCCGAACAGGACAGAGGGCGCGTTGTACTTGGTCAGCAGGTAGCGGTGGACCCAGTAGATAGACGCCATGCCCGTCGAGAAGAAATAGACGTCGTTTGGCGACACTCGCGTCGTGCGCTGCGGGTCAACCGGGGCACGGTCCAGCAGTCCTGCTATCCTTTCTTTGATCTGTTGATGAGCCAGTCCGTCTGGCGATCCGAGTTCTTCCTCCTCGTCGTGCTTGACTTCTCGCAGCGAGCCGATATGTTGGAGGCAGTCTTCCGCCAGTCGAGAGGAGATGCCGACGCCCGCGTTGACCCAGAAGCCGTGCACCGTGGGCGTGGACTCGACGGGGAACATGACAGCGTACAACAGCGGGACATGATCATGTGTCTTGAAGATCCGGATAGAGACCTTGTCGCGCGGGACTGTCTTCCCTTCGCCTCGACGAGGAGATGTGGCAAAGTCCTTGCAATCGCGAGCGGCGTGCAAGGAAGGGAACAGAAAGCAGCCTTGCTGTCCTTGTCCGTCCTCGACGCCAGCAACCTCGATGATCTTTTGAGTGAGCTGTTTTCCTTCCCCATCAGTCACATCCTGCGACGATAATGGCGGGACAAAACATTACCTCCAACACGTCCTTGTGCAGGACAAAGCGCGGGTACATGCTCTTGAGCGCCGTCAACAGCTCTGGGTCATGGTCCTTGAAGCGCACAATCGACCGCCATTCTGGAAGATGGACTGTAATAGCATGCCTTGGTGCCGGCGGCAGCGCTGTACCGAAAGGTGTCTGGATTTCCAGCGCCATGCTGTGGCCGGGACTGCCTTAGTTTCTGGCAGGGCTGCTGGTGCTGGTGCCGCTCTTCAACAACTCAGGGCCTGCTTCCACAAAATGCAGCCCAGACTGCGTGGCGCATACATCCATATATTATCAACGACTCACACGGGAAAGCCACCTTGCCTCGTTGTCATCAGGGCGGCCGACATGGGCAGCTGAAAATCTTGTCTTGTTCGGCTCCGTGCAACCGCCCATCGTTCAAACAGAGGGAGGTAGTTCACCGGCCTTTGTGGGTCGTTTGGTAACTTTTTGTTTGGCCCGCCCCGAAATCATGCTACCTATATACGAGAGCAGGGGTTAAATCTTACACGAGGTCACTTTTTCGCGTTGGCACCCGAGAATAGTAAATACTGGGTACATGGCTCGAAGTTCCGTATCGTTACTCGTAGCAAGACGTTCAAACCCTCGCTTGGCCCTCTCCTGGTATTCGGGCTTCTCGGGGATCACTTACTTTGTTGGATTACGTACCTTCGTAGTGGCCGTTTTGTCGAATTCTTTTCGCGTCGTTTTAATCCCTAGATTCGTCAGCCTCGTTCAGCTCGTGGCACTCCCCCCACCCCCAAGCGTAGAGCGGCGTGTGATACATTATGCATGGCTGCATTACGCATTGCTGGCTACATCACCGAGTACATAGCAGGGTGACAGCACGGGAGCCCTGTCTCGGGGTGGATATTGTATCAAGCAGTTGCCGCAAAAGGCCACTAATCGGGCTCGACCCAGGCTTACGAGATACTTACCGTCGCATCTCACGCTGGAGGGTCGAAAAATGACAGACGAAGTCAAAATTACAGGCTGATCCTCGCCGTTAATTACCCAGGAGCAGTCTGTACTGGAGACAATACAGCCTGTGATTAACAAGGTAGCTGTGGTAGTCATGAAGGACGAGGCAGCCGCGCGGAGTTTGGATTCACTCTCACCAAGGCCCAACTCGTCTAGACAGAGTGGGAGGGAGATGACAATCCTTCCCAGAGAAACCGCCGCCCCAGTCCGACAAAAGCGTGGGAACCCAATGAATGCAGAAAGGAGTTGTAAGAGCATGCATTGGTGCTGGACTTCCTCGTCACGGCATGAAAGAAGTCCGAGGATTGTGGTAGGAAGAGAAGCCGGAACTCTTTTGACAGCATTTGCCGCGTCTCGGTTTCACCCCTCGGCCGTGAAGCCGTGAAGCCGTTGCATGTCTTGCACAACGAAGCTGCTCCAGAACCATTCTTTCAGTCTATGCAGAGTCCCCACCGCCACCCCGTTGGGGCTTCATTGACACCACTGCGGAACGCGTCCCTCGTACCGATATTTCCATCATAACAGCATGCTGACTTGAGGAATTGAGCGGCTCGCTCATCAGCGCCCTTCATTCTCTGCCGAATTGCAAGGTGTTTGCAAGGCATTATCCTCATCGAAGGAAAAGAAGCCCTGATCATGACTGCAGCGTCAGACGTGGGGACTCCAATCAATAGAGTGGTCGTTCGAATGTAGATGTGCATCTCCAGCCCCAGGATTTTCGCCAACCTAAAAGCCTCTCCCTCTACCACGTCCGCGTCCCCCTCTCCCCCGTCCCCTACCAACTCCCCGACCCCGTCCTCGTGAATCGCCTTCTTTCCTCGCCTTGTTCTTTGGTTTTGGTTGGTCATCGATGAGCAGCGTGTCGAGAGGTAAAGAGTCGGGTAGGATGTAATATCTGATCGTCGAGCCACGGATGTTGATGGTGTCAAGACTGACAGTTTCGCCTGGGGCGGAGGGGTTCGACCGATTCTTCGTGGTCATTTTGACCGCCCGTAACGCAGTGTTCATCTGCGGCGATACTGAGGTGATGGTGCCTGACACTATGGTGCCATTCTTGAGTTCTATCGTGACCGATTCGTTGGCGCATTTCATGAGAAATCTAATATACCGTCAGCAACAGCGCCTCAGTCTTATTCACCATGATCTGGCCACGCCGCAGGCCAATGCGCGCAGCCATGAAAACAGTTTCGATAGGTAAACAAGCCGCACACACCTGACGAGCTTCATTTTGCGCCGGTGGCGCCGTCGAGCGCAAAATTCTCAAAGGTCTCCGGATCGTCCGTCAAGGGGAGGGTGTTGTATTGTTGGAAGCGACTGTCCTAGAAGCGAGATACGAAGTTAACAGGGGTCGTCGTCGACGGTGTCGTGAAAGAGCGGTGCAACGAAGGTGGAGGGAGGCCGGGAAATGTCAAAATTTGTGAGGCATTGGCAGCCTTGTGAGGAGCAGCCTCGATGCCAAGCTGGCGGAAAATTGATCCGCCGGCGCCAGGAGTGCCAGATTATGGCTGGCAAGGCTCTGCTCCGTATCCTGCTGGGTACAATCTTTTCTACTATAAGTATGCTATCAATATAAAGCACGATACTAAAGATTAAATGCGCCTCTACAAGGGAAGCTCAACCTGGGCAATCATGCCCAACCAAATATATATCTATTGCCGTCTAGGATCCTGAACAAGATTCCCCCTTCTCTCATGTCCCCTTCTTCACGACCAACACCACCATCCCACTCCCGCTTTCGATATAATCCCGGCCTTTCCCCTCCGGCACCTCCTCAATTATCTCCTTGGTCCTTCTGACCATCATTTCGAGAATGTCCTCCACCTCCCCCTTTTCCACTTTTTCTTTGTTGGCTTCTCTCCACCGTGTGATCGGACTCGCCGTGCCCAGCAGCGCTTTGATCCTCGTGAAGTCCACCCTCAGAAACTCTGAAACGGCACCTTCAGAGGACATGCGGCCGTCCCTGTCGGACTGGATCCTAACGAACTGCTTCTCGTCAAACTCATTCAGCAGGTCCTTCAGTCCTTGGTCCGCCCCGTCGATCCTGTCAAGACATTCCCACGGCATGCCCAGATTGACGTACAGCTCCCGAGCCACTCTGTTTCCGGGCAACTCGTAGGGGCTGAGCACCTCCTCTTCAAACCTCTTCCACCAGTCCTGTAGCTTCTCCGCGTTTGGGGTGCTCGGATCCACCCGATAACCTCCAGAGCACCAAATGATCACACTGCCGCCGGGTTTGAGGATCTTGGCCGCCTCCCCCCAGAAGCGAGGCATGTCGAACCAATGCGCCGCGGTCGCCGCGGTAATGAGATCCGCACACCGCAGACCGTCCTTCCCACTTCCTGAAAACTCCTTCAGAGCCGATAATGTGCTCAACGCCTCAGCCGAGCAGACCTCGTACGTGATCAGCTTGCCCGATTTCGTGGCAGAAGGGACAGTCCTTGCGGCCTCGATCATGCTCACACCGGGATCCGCGCCGATGGCATGTTGGAAGTGAGGCGCCAGAGATCGGGTGGCAACGCCGGGTCCGCAGCCCACGTCGATAACCAGGCCCAGTTCTCCGCCGGAAGACGTGTGTTGCGAGATGACCAGATCAATCAGCTTGTCCGAGTATTTAGGCCGGTGCTGGAGGTATTTCGCCGCCGACGAAGAATCATAGTTGCGGAATGTCGGGTCCCGAGCATTCGTCGTGGACGCCATCTCTGACCGAGGACACAGGGCCTTGTATCTAGAGCGTTGGGAGCGTGTGGTGTCTGTCTTTAAACTTTCGTCCGCTTTCTCCTGCTGCTGCCGCTGTCTCTGCTGTTGACGACGATATGCTGGGCCTGCCCTGTCAGAGCCACGCGGACGACCCGCCGGCGAAACGTTGGGTTTCGGCACTGGGTCAGCGTCTGGCGCGGTATCGGTCCCCGCCAGCCCACCGGCCACGCGAGGCGTCGTATCCGTATATCTGCCGGTCGAGGCTTGTACCGAGCACAAGTGTGGAGGTCTGTATGTCGGTGCCTGTGTGCGTACTTATCTCCTTTCAACCGCCTGAATACGGAGTCCCAGAGAGTTCTCCCGGCCTTCTCCTGTCCCTCGAGCTTTTTGTTCTCAAGAACAATGTCTTTTGAACAAAACAACCCCCAAGCACCCCACGGGTATGGAGCACATATTGTATCATCGACCGCCCAACACCCGACGCCCGACGCCCCGAGCCCCTCAATGGATGCTGGGATCGATCGCCTAAGTAACAGGACGGGTAAGACGTGCCTCCCTCATCTGCCGAATGGTGCCGGATAGCTACATAGTATGGGGCCAGAAGGGCCCAAAAAGAAAATGGCTTCTCGTCTATTCACTGTGAGTCATTTGCTCCGTCGCTGCATGCTCCGTGCTCCGTACTCCGTGTCCATTTCCGTGTCTCGACATACAGTATACCTACTTGTAGTACAGTGCAGGCCCTACTAGTCTCAATGAGAGCAGTCGTGTGTTGAGAGTTGTTTCATCAGACCGGGCTGTCGTCTTTGCCCCCGGTATCTCACACCAAATGGCGTGGCATGTCTGCATCCACCGAGGCCTCTCTTGACCATCCCTGCGACAGCAGCGGCTTGTAGTACACCGGCGTCTGAGAAACATGGAACAGGGGCGTCGGTTCGTCGTAGGTCGCCATGTTCATCATGGCTGTTACCTTCCCCCCGTGGCCCAATCGCGGCGCTCTAAAATCAACACCACCCAAACCCCCAAACACTACGTCCTTCTTCATCGTGACCGGTACGCTCCCGTCCAAATTGGTCCACTCTCCGCCCATGCCGGCCCCCTCAAACGCCATCCTCTGGACCTGCATCATATCGTCCATTACCCACCTCACTCTCCTAAACTCCCCCCATTGCATTCTGGTTTGTACCCAGCCCACGACTGGCTCCATGAGCAAGTAAAGTAGAACGATCGCTCCGCCTACCGCTAGGATGATGATGACTCCTAGCACGCTAAAGCTCACCGTGTCCCCGGACAACGAGACTTTCTGGCTACGACACATCGCTCTCGACACTTCGTCGAATGGGACCTGTAGGTACGTCCCTATGGGCATATCCACCTTCGCCACGCTGGGAGCCGCGTATTCGAACAGAGCATGTTGCAGCCGTGCAAGACTCACAGCAAACCAATTGCTTACTTCAACGTGCCATTGGTTGTCTGGTAAAGTGACCTGCTGGACGTGGTCGGAAATGGTATCCTGTGCACGCAGGGCTTGAGCACCGCGCCCACCGATCGCATGGAAGGTGGACAGGCCGCGGGAGTTCAGAGCAATGCGCGATGCAACCCCGTATTGCATGCCATTCAAGTTGAGCGCCGTCGAATTGAGCGCTGTCCATGCTTGTTGGTAGCCTGTCAGGGGAGTGCACTTCGACCCGTCCACGGCCACGGCATGCCCATCGCCAAGATTGCAATATTGATATTGATCTGCGCATGCCATCACCGAGACAAATTCATCCGCAGAGAAATAAGACAAATTCACACCGTTGTAACTTCCCAATTCAACGTAAAAATTCGCGCTGAAGAAAGGGTCCGAGTTCGGGGTGCTGTATTTTATCGCGTTGGAGGCTAGAAAGATGATTGTGAGATCGGCGTCCTCAGGATCGAGTTGGGAGATAGGGAGCCAGCCGATGTCGTCGAGGGGAACTTGGATGGCGCTATGTGTCGTCCGCATTAATAGAACTGCCTCTGTAGTTTAGTTGTTAGGGTAGAAACTTACTTCAATTCATATCCGAAGCCGTCGATGAAAGCATGTTGATTGTATGTGTAGGTTGTATTTGGGTCGTAGGCAGCAGCGACGTACGTCCCGTAGTGATATTGTCGGATTCGGTCCCCTTCCACTCCCAGGCCATCCTCTCCAGTTGAGATGACAACAGAGACGAAGTCCCCCTCTACGCTCAACGGCGAGCAAGTAGTAACCTTGCGGAATCCAACTCGGTCTGATTGTCGTGTATTGACTCCTAAATCAGTGTGCGAGTCAACCAAGCCTGTATCCATTCTGAATGCTGACGGAACGGCGCAGATAGACTTGTCGAATGGGCAATCTGTCTCTCCAGCGGTCCAGTCAATAGACTGGTTTGCGTATATGCTGCAGCTGAGTTTGTTCAAGCCTGCATCTTGATCGTAACACTGCCGTGCATATTCGGCCGCCATAAGTGTGTCATTCAGATCCTTGTATTGCATAGCCAGTGTGCGCTGTTCGAGGGTAGCTCCCGGATCATAAGACCAGTACCCGCAATCATCACTGATAATCAATCGTTGAGCTCCTGCGGCTCCAGTAACGAGTGAGGTCAATATGGAAGCCGCACCGAACACGAGCAAAAAACCCATGGCAAAGAAAGCAAGAGGAAGGGAACGAGCCCAGGATCTTCGCCCATTCCTCCGCCAATACCACGCAATTTGGGCGAAGGATTTCGTAGCTTCGAACGGTGAACCGGTGTTTCGAAAAACCAATTGGTGTTGATGATGCAGACCATCTTTTGCGTAGGGGCTGGCGGAACATTGATGGATGATGAAGCTGAGGATCCTCCAAAGACAGGACCCTACTATTGCGACGAACAAAGCCAGAAACGCCGTTAGGATAGAGGCTGAGCGGGCTGAAAGAGTGATGGTGCTTCCGACCACGACTCCACGGGACCAGTCGACCCAAGCACCCGTGTAGATAGAGGCTCCTGCGATAGTCGACATGGTGAGACAAGAGGAAACGAGAAGTAGCGACAGAGCCAAAGGTCAATCCAAAGGGAGGTGATGCCCCCGAATGGGAGGTTCCATGGTCATTCTCAGAAACTGCAGGTATCCCCAACACATTTAGAGAGCAGCAGAACCGAGGCCGGCATTGTAGTATCGAGCGCTGAATTGAGACATGGCAACCGAGAGAGAGACTAACATCACCACCTTACCTCAAATAAAACAAATCAGAAGTATAGAGGTGCGTTGCCCAATCGCAACTTGCATGAAGGTTGGGCTGTCGCCGCAAACACGAAGTGCCTAGACAGTAGATGCGATCGGGCTGTTGGCCCTGCCAAGGCTTGGTGTTGTCTGCTGAAGTTTGACAGGATCCTGGACCCCGAAATAGCGAACCCAAGGCATTGGTGTCGCAGACCAATTTGAAAAGTGGAAGAAAAAAAAGGAGGAAGCCCCAAAATCGCGTCTATCGCCAAGTCAGCAACACGAGATGCCAAGATCGGCCTTGCCTGCTTGGGGATGGTCAGATTCTCTGCGTGGGGAGTACCTATATCAACCATGTCGACTCCTCGGTAACAGTCCCAGTTGCAAGTTCTGTCTTTCCCGAATGGTGATGGCACTATTGGTAGATGAGTTATGAGTGCTCCAGCCGGCTGAGTCCCTTGTGGCTGTGGCTGTCTGTAGCGGATTATCTATCCGACAGGAGCCCACCAAACTATCCGCCTCTCTGATTGGAGCTCTTACTCCTGTCCAGGGGCCGGCAATGGCTCTAGGAGAGAGTGTATATTGGCTCTTTCAAGCAACCAGGAACTGCGTTCTTTGTTCTGTATTGCTCAGCCGCGTCTGCAGATGCCGACGAGACTACGGACATCGCCGGGAACTCGACACGTGATACTTTGTTAATGACAGTATTGAATTCGCTGCAGCTCCCCAACTAATATCTCTCCAGATGAGCGGATCTGTCAAAGAGTTTGTCTCCTTTGTTGTATGCCGAATGACTTTCACCAGTGCTGATGCTGATGATACAAGCAGCAGCAAGATGCCAAGAGCAAAATAGTCATCTCCTCGGCCATTGTGCTTACAGGTCATCGGATATTGACCCTTTATTGTGTCCGTGAAGACATCGATACCTGGACTGTCCGCCGATTGCAGATCGAAACTGTCGTTTGTTGGAGCATCGGCCAGAAACGCATTCGCCACTCGCCGCAAAGCAGGCCCTTGCAGCATAGAGACCCACTCTGGGTCATGTGGCGTGTTGCAAAAGCTAACCCGACTATAATGACGAGTAATTCGAGTCTCGTGGAGTACAAATCATAGGCAGAGACGGCCTCTAAAAGACGGCCTCTAAATCTTTCGTAAGGGAAGCACACCATCAATTCGAGGGCCCGCTTGTGAGGGAACTTTGGTCCTGTCCATCGGGAAAGAAATATGCTCCAACAGCAACGATCACATAACATGCACACAACAGTGCACCCTCCAAATAGTTGCTTCGCCCATCTAGGACCAGGAAGTTGACAATGAAGGTGGAGACAAACAAAGAGCCGGTCTCAAACAAGCTGAAGTAGAGAGACATGTCCTTATCCATGATCCACCCCAGAATGACTACGAATGGAGTGACGAAGAGCGCAATTTGAATGGAAGATCCGAGCGACACGCCCAAAGCAAGGTCAAGCTTGTTCTTGGCGGCGACCGTAACAGCCGTGACATGCTCGGCAGCATTGCCGACGATGGGCAGGATGATTAGACCAATAAACGCTTCCGACAACGGGGAATCTTCCACCAAATGCTCGATACTTCCAACAAGGAACTCTGCGCACAGCGCGACAAGACCGGTAGAGGCTAGTAGGAGAATGATCGATGCTGTTTGACTCATGGGCGGAGCGTCTTCTTGTGCGGGTGAATTTGTTGGTGAAGAGCGACGAACGATCCGCGCAGCCCCCGGACTTTGGCTTTGCTGATCGGGCGCTGACTGATAATGTCTAAGTGGATGAGAAAGATATTTTGCTTCTTTGCCCCTGGGGGAAGGATGTGTCGACGATCGGAAAACTGGTGGGGGGCGGAAAGAGAGCCCGCGAGGCCCTATATTTGGTTTCTTGTCCTTTGCTGAAGCTGCTGGAGGGTTGGGTGGCATGCCTTCCATTGACGCATCCCGCGACTTGGTCTCTTGTGCCTCCACTGTCTTTTCTCCCTGGTCGTCAGTCACGTTCTGACCCAGCTTCACGACAGCTTCTTCAGAGTCCGCGTCATTTTCAACCCCAGTCTTCACCTCCCTCCTCCTGTCTAGCTTTGCCCTCAGTCTCTTGCTCACACGCCGATGGGAGCCGGCACTCGTAGCAGACGATCTTGAAGAGCTGGCGGGTGAAGAGGTTGTGGAGTCGAGACGCTGAAGGACACCTGGGGTAGCTTCCTCGTCGATTATATGTTGCGGTGTTCCTTGGTAAAGATATGCGTGGGACTTTAGTTGGAAGAGCAGATAAAGAACGTAGATGATGAGAAGAATTACGGAACTTCCTCGGCTGAGTTTGATGACTGCGTGGTCAGCTTTTTCGAGGTCACTGAAAGACGCGTGGAAGGCGGTCTGACAACCCTAGTTAGCTAGCATCTTTTGATTGTGAACCCAACTCAGCGCGAACTCGATCTCACCGGAATCAGCAAGCTGAGGACTGCCAGCGCCAGCAGGCAAGCCGACATCTGAGTTACAGTACTGTCGTAAATCTGCTCCTGGAACGCTCGCCTCCGATCAAAAAGACCATACCCAATATCAGAAGAAGGTTGGCGAGAAGGGAGCCGATAAGGGACGCCTGGACAATGCGAATCTCATCCTTGGCGAGGGCAATACTTTGGAAGGTTTAGCTCTGCCCACGGGTTGGGGATAGTATGACGTACATACTGCATTCTGTTAGCAGATTTCAAGAAGAATGAGTTGAATGACCTACAATATGATCAACTCGACTGCATTCCCGAAGCTTACATTCAGGAGAGCACCTAAAGTAGGCCCCAGCCGATGCGCAACGCTTTCGGTAGCGAACGTAAGAAGGCCAGCCAAGGGGATAATGGCAATTGCGTTGATGGCAAAGACCACATTCTGGTTGACTCCGGCAAAGTGGATGGCGATGCCTACAGGAACAAAAACTAGGAGGACATTGACCCAGCTGTGGAAGAGGGCGACCTTGATATTGGCCAGGACACGAATGAAAACGGAGCCTTTGGGCTTCTTCTGCTCTGCCGCATCTGCATTTTGCGATTGGTCTTCACTCGCCGAAGATCCATGACTGTCACGAACAGGCGACCATGGGTTGAAGTTGTGCTTGTGAGCAGATGAATGTGCCCATGCCCTCACGCGATCTGAGTAGAGATTAGCGAGGAAAGGAGAGGTGTGCGCGGAAAAAAGTGGCTTGGCTGCATACGCATCTTATTACTGGGTAGTCGACTAGGAAACCACCAGCCAGCATCTTTGAAAGAGCAGAAAGAGGAAAACAGACACTTGACTGGGATTAAAGAATAGAGAATTGAAAGAGAAGAAACGATCAACCCAAGACGAAGACGAAAACCCAATGTTTGAACTGCGACGATGACGATGGACTTTTGCACTGAAACACGGGATGGAAAACATCTGGGAAGGTGGAACGGAGGTGCCAGCCAATAACAAGGCTAGTCTGCATGTAAGTGGTGCTGTACAAGGTTTCGTACTAGAGAGCCTATGACGTAAGGATCCAGGCACCTCACAAATAGGACAGACACCATAACAGCCCTAATGGCTGATTACCCTAATTACCCCAATTACCCTAATTACCCTAATTACCCTGTTAATAATAGGGTATTTCGTTAGCGCAACGCCAGCCAGCTTTCCCTCCCTCCCCAACTCTGGCTGGTGGACATTCCGCTCTTGGACTCGTAAATGAGAGCGCACACAACAACCAAGCACGCACCCCGTCCTGTAACCATATATTACCCTGTATATACTCTGACCAGCCATACACTAGTACAAGCTAGGAAGTCCAACTGCCTCCTTCGCTCCGTATGAGGTGGTGATAATGGCCGTGCTGTAATCGCCCCAAACTCGTAACTTGTGTTCAATGTCAGCCACCACTATGCGACAGTTCCTAAACAAGCCGCCGCAGACCACTTTGAAATGAGGCAGCCTATCGCAAATGATCAAGCAGGGTCGCCGTGTAACCCCGGAACAGCACCCCAGGCTCCGGGGTAGTGAAGGCTGCAGACGATAGGGCGGCCCGATCCGCCAATCTCGCTGGTCGCCCCTACCAGGCCTGACAGTCCATGAGTGGAGATGCCACGATGAAGTACGTTTTAGCTCAGATTTAATCCCTCATGTTGGTTGCAGGCGGGCTCCGATGAATGCTGGCACCTGTCAGAATCCCGTGCATGATGGTTTTTTTTTTTTTTGCGGAGGGAAGACCAACCAAGCTCGGACCGCTCTTGGACAGAGTCGCGTAGGAGGCCAGTGGGCGCTGGACTTCCTGCATTCGAATCAAAGAGGGTCATCAGAATGTCGAGGACTTGATTAAGCTGAGATTGTCTGTATTTGTGGTATTCGGAGCTGGGAACCTGGGCATACAAGTGATCGAAGTTGTGGCACTGGTCAAGGTAGGGGTGGACTCGCTGCATGCGAGCCACGGTCGGGTCTGGTCGCGCAATGTGGATTGAAGCCATGATCGACGACAATACTGGAGGAAAGAAAAGAGTCTCCACTCATCGGGAATTTTGTGGATTAAGTACTACTTCCTTGACGGTCCCAGTGGCTCCTACGGGATCCAGACTTGTTTGTCAAAACCCCAGACTGGTCACCAAATTATGTGCATGACCACTTAAGTTCGAACACAGCCAGTCAAGGGATTGGTCATTCACCATTGACGGGCTCCGAACCTGAGGTCCTTTAGGTTCAGATCAATGCGTAGGAAATCCCAGATGGTGGTTGGAGATGCGGCCGGCAACGGTCAGGGCCTTTGGCGTTGGCCTCGGGGGTTATTATTGGCTTCCAGCGGTCCATGCCGGGGACTTTGAGAGGTCGATATCGGTTGTCTAGGCTCGGGACAGACTGGGACGGAGCGTGAAATTCAGGATGAGTCAAAACACAGAAGTGTAGTCGTCGCATCTGACCGCTGACCGTGCGCGAGGCCAATCATGTTTCCCAGTGCGCAGATTGGCAGTTTGTGACTTTGGTGTTGCGCGCGTCATGTGCGGAGCGTGTGTGGGTACATCACTGAAAGGTCCTTGCATGAACTTGGCGGCCCCTTGATCTCATTGACCCTGAATGTGCAAAAGCCCCGATTACTGATGCAGAAAGGACTGCAACAAGCCGAACTTCAGTCGGCACCAGCGAATCGAAATACATTTTGCCCAAGAAGGTTGGCTGCTCGTGTAATAAAGTCCAGGAACTCGGGGTGGTTGCACCGAGCAAACCGGGTCACCTGGAGGGCTCCGAGGCGACAAGGACGCATCCATCCGTGAAGGACGAACACATAAAAGAGGGCGGAATTGATTAATTACCAAGGGGAGGTAAAATGGGAATGATGGGGAATGACCAAAACACCCCCTCCAGTGTCAAGTACTGACTGCCGAGTGCTGCTCCGCGTCGCGATCTGAGTTACAGTATCATGAATGAATACCCAGATAGTATCGATAAGGAATCCTTCCAACCCTTGAATGGTAGTAATACCCACCAAGCCAGGCGGTTATTCACGCCTGGGCAGGTCTGAAGCAGACAAGCTCTGCGGTTAAAGGGTGTGGCTACGGACCACCCAGGCGATCCCTGGCTGTCCTAGGCGTTCAATAGCCAAAAACCTACTGGCCCTACCTGTGAACACTGGGTCGCGGCAGGCGTCACCAGCATTGAGGGCAGAGTAAAGACATGCCCCCCCCTCAATTCCCCGCACCCGGAGCCCACAGCCACGCAACCCACTTGTAGGTAGGCCTTTAGGATCGCCTGAGCACCCATTATCTCTGTGCCCCTTGCGTCCTGCTCCTGCCACAGTGCCCTACACAATTGTGCATTGTTTAACCTGAAAGATTATGACCACGTGGGAAGACGCTTGGGGCTCTATGGCTCTGACGTTGGGCAGGAAGAGAAACACGAAAACAAACAAAACCTTTCGCTTTGGTGATAATATAAAACTGTTGTGCTTTCCCTTACCAACCTTTTTTTTTTGGCTGCCAGTGACAGCGAGACAGAAATGGGTTTAAAAAAAGAAAAGAAAACTTTTTCTCCTAATCTCCGGCAGAGCCTCAACACTAGCCACGTTACTGTGAGTGGTGGTGGTGGTGGTGACCACGAACAAGGAGGGTCGATGGGCGCCGTGAATGGAGGGGTGCTCGAGGAATGTCCTGGATGCTAGTCCACTTTTTGCGCATTATGTACATTTGGCAGCGGCCCAAGTTGTGGCTCCCTGCGGCATCCCTGAGCAGTCAGAGCATCCCACCCTCTGCAATCTTCTCAATCGTCGACGGTCAATCGTCAATAGGAAATCGATAGTCGAATGGCTCTGTAGAGGAAAATGAGAACAGTCCGAAAAGCAAGCCACCTACCTCCCCATCGATAACAAAGTTCCATCCCACTTGGCTCAACGACTACGACATCGTCTGGCACATGTAGCAGAAGGTCCTGAGCCGCCCCCAAACAGCGGTGCTGTCAGCGGTGGATCGAGGGCATGTGAGTGGCGAAATATGTCTTTCTCGACAATGGAAGCGGCGGGATGGCGGCCTCATGCGCGGCCATTGGGATGAAACACCAATACCTCTGGAAACAATCTTAGCTGGAGAGTCGGCGTACCGAAGGTAGCCATTTCAGCATAATGGATACGGCACAGTACAACCCAGTAATACTCGGTAGGTATTGTTAATGGGCCGTCAGCAAAACAGCGGGCAGCTGTGCCTGCATTCGACAAGACGAGCTTGCACGGCGACCTCGAGTCCTAGTTCGTGTGGTCTTCTTGCTAGTCCCTTGCCCGTCCTACGCCCTCCGCCCTCACAAACCTGCAACCCATCAAACAGCTCAACTGAACTGCACACGCACTCCCACCACACTCACTCGCCCTTTTCTACAGCTGATGCAGAAGAATCTGAAGCATCTGACAATTTTCAATAACTATTCCTGCATCTACCTACATCTGGTCTGCAACCGCAAAAGATTTCTGACTGTGAAGATTTCCTCACCTCTGAAAACCAACCTGCGGCCGAAACGGCACACGCAAACATCGCCTCGACCACCACCACTCCATCACCACTCACGACAATCGTTGGCAACGCAAGAATGTCGTGAGTATTATTTCCATACTGGCCATGGACATAGCTATCCCCCTGCACCACAGTCAGGATTGTGGCTGCACCTCGGGTGTGTCTGCGGCCGTCACCAGAACAGAGGACTCGAGCCACCGGTCAATCCTATACTCCAAATCGACGGGAACCCAATTCAGGGTACTTGGAGACTCGCGGCAAACATGAGATCAGACCATCGAACCATGTAGTGCCCAGAAACCTGTGCTCCTCGCACAGGGCACCTGAATGTTCTAGAGGTGTTCCAGATAATTCATATGTACCGCAACTGACATGGATGACAGTTCCTCCACACAGAGCATTACCTCTTCCCAGTCAGACTCGCGAGCCTCTTCAAGGACGCTGTCGGGATCGAGTTTTGAAATGTCATCCCCCTCTTCACCGATCATGTCCTCCATCCCGTCTCTAACCGAATCTGGCCGTGTGGACAGCCACGCTAGGAGAAACATGCTCCAAGAACCTCGCTTAGAGGCACCATACTTCCCTGGCCAGCCCTCCAGAGAAAGGAAGATGCAGAGCCTGGCAAGGTTGGACATTGTTCTTCAAGACCTGCAACAGGCATTCGCAGGGCAATCGCAACAACCTCGCGTGGAGGCACCTTACTTCCCTGGACAGCCCCCCAGAGAGAGGATGGAGAGTCTAGCAAGATTAGATATCGTTCTTGCGGACCTGGAACGGGTATCCGCAGGGCAATCGCACGGCCGCGATTCACAGGGAGGCCTGTGAAGTGGGGGGAATTTGAATTTGGTTGGCTTTGCTACATCTCAGGTCAGTATGAACGTCAGACAATGGTGCCCACATTCGCTGATAGTTGCCTCGCAAGTCGCTCGCTCAATTTCCTAGAGTTCGCAGTTATTATTGGCAAGAAGCAAAAGGGTGTGCCGTCTTTTCGCACCGAGGCAGATACGACCCGTTTGTCTGGTTCACCCGAACGATGAAAGGGTCGGCATGCAGAAATGCAAGAGCTGAAGATGAAAAATCAATTGACCGAGACAGTGACGAAGAAGGTGCAGCCGAGCACCATGACGTGGTGATGTTGGCATTTTTCCGGCGTTCCGGATGCAAAAATGAGTTTTGGCAAGGCCGACGACAGACAGGGACAACCTCCCACTTCTAAGAAAAGCCCAATGCGGATGGACGACCTCACCGAGGACTGGTCACTGCCCCGGGCCTTGCTCGAGGCCCATGGTGGGCTAGACTGACCAGATTAGGCTAGGCTGCGGCTGGTCGGATTAACAATCATCCGGAGACTTGGCAGAGAAAATTGCCACTGGAGGGTGCCAGTTGACCGGTTGGCGAAGCGAAAAGGCAGCCAGACCAGCCAAAAAGGCAACGAAGCAACGACTGAGGCTGAAGAGTCCTAGACAAGGCTGATATCGACATACTATTCACTGTGGGATGGAGCATCGTGAGCAAGATCAACCATTGACTCAATCTCATCAAAGGCAACGACATTTGAGGCCCGTTGAGAACTGGATTGACAACTTGACCCCTCCAAAGGGTACAGCTGAGTGGAAGAGGTGCAGGAAGAGACCTTGCATCTTCAACGGAGTCCGACAAAGCGACAGGCCCGGCTTTGTCGAAATTATCTGAGCTTGTCGACAACCCGATGATGAACGAAAAGTTGAATGCGACACGGGAATTGCGAGGGCAGAGCTACCTTAATAATGGGCTGCCCACCTCAATCGCCACCCTCCAGCTGGATTTCTTAAGCTGATGGAGCCAACACGTTCAAGGGTGTTCTTGTTGCTCCAACTTAGGTCGGCTGAGTGCATTATTGGACGCCAACACCACCGTCATACTCTGCTAGCCGCCTCCGGTTTAGCGACCTGTGTGCCCACGACTTCGCTCCAAAATACGGTGGGGACTCATCACATCCGATACAGAATTGTGCGGCATCCATGCAGCAACCTTGTCAGTTTCTTCTTTTTCGTGCAGCCCCTGACTTAATAGGGCCACCGAGCTTGGAAAACCCTGGCAACTCTCAATTGAGGTACCCAATGTGGCACCTCTACCTATCCAACCCGCTGTGCGAGCATGCTCATTAACGAATAGTGGTTGCCCACGCCAATACACACGACCAGCTCAGATATGCACTCAGACTTAGCGGCATTGCGCCTTGGGGGCGAGGCTGTACAACTCTTTCCATACGTGAATAGATCATGCGGAAAATCAATACTCGGATGCCTAAAACGGTCTGTGCCTCGGGCACCCTCAGGGATCAGCGGCATCCTGAGACGGGGCCAGGAGTTGGCGTGCCATCAAACGAGACCCTGGCCGAATGCTTGATACCGGTACGAGGTAGCCGGTACTGGGTACACTTGGCAGTCACGAGGATGTTTGCTTAAACTTGGATTACCGCGAGCGCGTCGGCCTATCGTGCTCGGAAATCCACCTTTTCTTTGTGCTGTGGTCCATGAGACCATCCAATGGTCAAGTCGAAAACACATTTCCATTGCGAATTGGTTGCCACTCGACCAAATGATGCCTGGCCTTCACCAACGAATCGCCAACTGGTTTAGCACCCGTGACCACAAGAAAACACTGTTGGTTTTTCTATTGATCACAAAAAGACACCTTCAGCAAGATAAAGTTGACCTGCCTAGGGTAGGGTGGGACTTTAAGGCTCTGTTGGATTGACGGTTTGTTTGTTAACTCATTTTTGATTTGTCCGAATTGGTCTGCCTTTGCGGGACGGCGTTCATGAGTCTGAATTTCTTTGCGGGATCAACGATTTCATTCAGTAACTTGTACGCACTCTAAATTGACTGGCACTTTGCTGTGGCCGGAACAACGACTGATTGCATACACGAGCGTGGAAATACCAAAACATCTGAAAAATCACCTTTGCCTCAAAAAGACACGGAAAAGAACAACAACTTGCCAAAAAAAAAGGGCTCCGAAAACTCACCATATGCATTTCAGAGGAACGGGGGGGTTTTTTTTTTAAAAAAAAAAAAAAAAAGAAAAAAGAAAAAAAAGAAAAGAAAAGAAGCAGGGCAAGGAACGTGCTCGGCATGTTCTATTGAGGAACAGGGTCACGATGGCTGTCCCTCAATGATCACATCATTTTCCACGGACGGACGACTCAATGCGTCAGCAGTCTCGTTTCATCCCCATGAATAGTGCACATTGGATAATTCATCGGATACACGAGGTGAAAGGATTCGGTGTCCGGGGATTCCGCGGTAAGCAGTAAGGCCGGAAAGCAGTCACTCTTCTTGGACATGGCCTTGCAGCTGAAGAGTTTTTCGACATGAATCATTCCAGTCAGTTACCTGGTCGTGGCTTCTCTCCACAATGTGAGGGAATTCTTTGTGAAGAAGAGCAGGCGTTATATTGGTTTGAAAGAATGAGAGTCGTTGACTGTTGATGGAGTTTTTGACCTGAGTTGGAGCGAGATTGGTGTCTAAAAGACGAGCGAGGGAGTCGAGGGTTTGGATACTTAAGCAAAGTGGATTTAATTCTGCGAAAAATGATCAAGGGAATTTTGTTGAGGTATTAATGAGAGATCTTGGGAGAGCGTTGACAACAGTGAGCAGAGGAACAGTCAGCAGAGGCTGCGGGCGGTCTTTGATTTCGAGCATGATGGTGGTCCCGCGCATGGATACAGAATCACACTTTCAAAAGCGAGAGACGGACAGCGCAAGCCTCAGACATGGGCATTGGGAGTATTTACACGGGCATCTGTTGCGAGGTACATGAGTATCAATCACTGACGGAACGAAGGGTATTGACGGGAAATGGACTGAGACAATCAATACAAAGAAGTTCCGTTCAACGATTCCTCATGCGTTATTGAAGGGAAGGATGCCGGACCTGGCATTGAGCAATTCCCACCCTGGCGATTTGACCAGACTCCTGAGTTCTCGTGCTCTGCATCTGGACCTGGATCGAATGTGATGTGGGAAATATGATGTGGGAAATGTGATACCTACTGGGTATGTGACATGTGAGGTGTAGCATGTGACATGAGATTCCAGTATCTGTTGCGCCGTTTCAGCCTCGCCGCCCCTGCCGCTGCCGCTGCCGCTGCCGCTTGATGTGATCTGCTCCTTCCAGCTCCTGTATCCATCATCAACGCCGCACCGTCGTCATCATGATCGATCCCTTGATTCATTCCTCACCGCAAAAAGCTGCCTAGCCTGGATTGTTACCCAACACGCGCAAGCCCACCGAAAGTTCATACACCTGACTTCCGAAAGAGAACTTGGTACTATCTGTGGAGAGATTCCTCGTAGTCCGGAGTTCATTTCTGTTTTTTGTTGTTTTTCTTCCTGGAGCCTAAGGGGTGTTGTGTGTGCGCGTGGACGACGTGACTTGTTTCCGCTCGAATGGATGTCCATCGACTCGGCCAAAATAACTGGGCATCGCTAGTGTCCTACCGGCCACTCCCCAGATAAGTACACAGTAGATACGGTACTATTGAGCCATGTTGAGCACGGAATGATACACGTTCCATGCTTCACATGTTGCCTAGTTGACTAGGTCTGAAGCAAGTAACCCTTCCTTGTACATCCTCCGTGATCTAGTAATGCGCAACGAGTAATCCATACGAGAAACCAACTGCAAGTCCAAGTCCAAGTCCAAGCACTCCGTACCTAGTCCCCTAGTTTGGATCCTCTCCGGCATTCCCCTAGATCTGCCTTGCCCGCCAGTCTGCCCGTCCGGCTGCAAGGAATCGTGAAGCAAGTCTCATTAAAGACGCACACCAATCGGGCGCCAAAAAAGGGGAAAGAGACCAATGAGAAAATGCCTTTGACTTCAAGGATGAAGCACCTATGTAGCCCGCTAGGTACGTACTCACTAACCAAGCCCTTTAGCCCCTCCTGCCCCGCCTAGACGCGTCTTGGGCGCAGTCTTCTCGACAACGTCGACGTCGACAGCGACGGTCTACCTTGACGGGGCCCCATGATTGAGGGTTGAGGGGTTCAGCAGTCGAGTCAGTCTGGTCAGTTCAATTTCCGCCCAGCCAATTAACCAACCCACGAAAGAATTGACTCAATCCCCGCCCCAGCATGTACAGTACTTGTTAGAGTACTCGCTAGGTACTCGGTACCAAGTGCTCCGTACTCCATGTATCAAGTGCGAGAGTGGAGGCCCTTCTTTTTAACTCTCTCTTCATTTAGGATTTTGATCCCGTCTGCGAGAAACAAGGCGTCCCGTGCACATTACGTACAAGATGTGCCGAATACGAATACTCGCTCTACCTCCAGGTCCAGCTCCGCTTCAGCTTCAGCCTGATATTGACCCATTCGGCGCCCCGAGGGAGGCCGCTGAATCTGGAACGTGTTGGCACGTTAACGACTACGGGGGGTAATACACGGGCTCTCGCATGGAGGTATAACTATGTGCTATGAGGAGCGTCGACGTTACTATATTACCCGTACGTACTTACCAGGATGTGTAGAGGAGAGTAGGAGCTGGTGGACTGGCAGGTGTGGCAGAAATGGAGAGGCATGAGGAGTCCAGCCTGACAGAAAAGCACGCCTTGGTCAGGGGCTACAGGAGAAAAGACACAAGCCCTACCAGCTTTTCCTCTCGGCTGATGATTTCTCTCGATCCGCCTGGTAGCTTCGCTCTATTATTATTCTACTTCTCGTCAGCTCTGGGCATTGCTTCGTGTCAGGCATGACACTTGGTATCTCGGTCTAACTGCTCGATGGTATTCATTTCGTTACACGTGACAACATCCAAGACTCATTCGTCATTCCATCATCATCATGGCTTGATTTTTCTTTTCCGTCTCGAAAGGATATCGTATCTCCTCTGGTGCTCGTGATCAGCGGAAAAGATCTCAGTCCCCGTGTCCGCTAATGCATGTTCTTCAAATGCTCCACCAACGCCTGCACCTGCTCTCTCACTTCGTCTGTCAACTGTTCCTCCGGCTCACCGAGCACGCTCATCATGATCGGAGCCAATTTCGGCGTGAGTTGCTGGATCGTTGGGTCCTGCTCGCGGTAAAGCTGTACGATCATCTTCCACAATGGCTCGTTTTCTTGGTAATCCTCCTTCAGAGGCAAGATGCCACTGTCAACAAGCGCCGGAAGAACCTGCTGAATGGGGACTTTGTCCTTGTGCTTCAGGATCAGGCGAGAGACGCATCCCGCAGCGTTGTCCTGGCAGCGTGCCTCGGTGATGTGCAAGATCGATTCGAGTTTCGAGAGGATCTGAGTGTATGCTTTGACGACGGTGCCGTCATCTTCGGATTTCTCCACCAGCCTGCCCACGGCATAGGCTGCATTAGACTTCGTCTGAGGGTCCTCGTCTCCCAGACGCTTGAGGAGAACCGTCATCATCTGCGAGGTATAGGGTGTGACCGCACCTGCCATGCCCGTGATAATCTCAGCGAGCACGCCACAGGCAGACGCGCGCCCCAGAGCTTCTCCACCGCTTGCATATCGCAGCACCTGTTTCTCAAAAATCTTCCATAGTTCCCCGAAGCTTGGGCCGAGCGCTGCTGCAAGACCCGAAATAACATCCATGGCACTGTCTACAACAAGCCATTCCAATTCTGTGGACTCCAAGTCTTCATCATCCAAGGCCTCCTCCGCCATATCGATTTGGCATGCATGTTTCTTTGTGATCAGATCCGTCACTGTCTGTACGATCTTGGAGAGGACGTCAGGGTAACTGAGGAGAGATGGGCCCGTCATCTTGAGGTTCTCTGCGAGGGCTCTCGAGATCTCGGTGACGGTAGCACTAGTAGTTCCACAAAGTCAGCATTGATTCCATCAATTGTGGATGCACACTAGGGGTCAGACGACATCTTTCAGAGGGTTGAAGATCGCGTTCGCTTCATCCACGACTTGCGTGTCGGAGTGAGCTGGGATTAACGAGAGTATCTCATCTTGTGGATATGCATTGCTTGGGGGATGCAACAAAGATGTCACTTACGTGTCCTCTTCCTCGGGCCAGACGTTCAATGTCGCAGTCATCAAGACCTCTCCAAATTTCGTCAGTGCCGGCGTCGGCTCGACCTGAAGTGGAAGGCCAGGCTTCCATTTCTGAAGTTCACCCGATTCTTCTGAGATATCGTAAAGAGCTGCATACGCGCGATGCAACGTGCTGATTGTGGCTTTTCGCACGTTCTCGTACGAGTGTTCGGCTAGGGGAAGGAGTTTCTCAATAGTCTTCTCAAAGAAGGGCAGATAGGCCGTCTTGGTGTTAGAGACAACGTCCCCGATAACCTCAATGGCGATTTCCTTCTCGAGAGCTATAGGAGTGACAGTTGCGAGATCACCCCAATCACTGTCATCGTCGCCGTCAATCTCAACATCTTCGATGTCTCCTTCGTCATCGTCATCCGCTGCGGTGACTTTGACCTTTTTTCCTGCGATCGTCACCTCCTTGCCGAGAAGGTCCCTTGCACTGTCGCCGAGTTCAACTTCGAGGTCGGCTTCTTCTTGGTCAATGCAATCGAAAAGACCCTTCACCACTCCATCTAGGAAAGGCGCAAAATCCGCTTCATAGACCTTGGCGAGAGAACCCCACAGAATGTAGGTGCTCTCCTTGAGTCTTGAGTGCTCAAGACGTAAGGCCTCTTCACTGGTCTCCATGAGCGGACGTACATAGTCCTTGAACTCGGCCGGGCCGACGGCAACAGCCATCTCACCCATGGCATCAGTGCAACTAGCACGAAGGTCAAGTTCTTCTTCGCTCTCCTTCTTCGTGATATATTCTTGCATAGCGTTCATTGAATCGCGGAGGTAGGGCAAGAATGGTGCTTCGACTGTTGAGGCCAAGGAGCCTAGAGCGCCCGCAGCCAATGCCTTGATCTTGAAATCGGGGTGCTTAAAGAGTCGTTGAAGCAGTGGAGCCAGCTTATCCAGGTAGGGCACAGCATCTTCCGCATCCATTCCGTCCACAACTGCGTCTATGGCACTTGTCGCAGACTTCATGATGTCGACGGTGGGCCCTTCCTCCTCACCCTTGTAAGCACCCATGGCCGCGGTCAGATTCTTGACGAGGAGCGGCATCAATTTCTCATGCGCCTTGCTGATGTCTTCTGGCATATCGTCCGCCAGCCTGGCAGTTGTCTGTAGGGCAGCCTGTCTGACAACAACCTCCGAGTCCTCCAAAAGTGTGAAGAGAATTGGCATCACGGAGGACAGCTGGGTGCTGAGGAAATCTGGAGCTCCTTCAACCGCCATACCAAGAGCTAGGATACCGGCCTGGCGATGTTTAGGATCGGAGCTTTTGGAGTACTCAGGGAGCGCATTCAACAACGGGACGACGACTTGGTTCGCAGGGAGACTCTGAGCCATGGTATCAATCAGACCTAGAGCTGACCGAGCAGGCGTGATATCGTCGTCATCGGCGGAAGCATCGTCAATCTCAGTGACAACCTGTAACATGCTCTTTGTCAATGGCTCGCCCATCTTGGCACCCTGGACCCGCAGCCGCCTATAGATGACGCACTGCATCAGGAAGCTGATGGCTTGAGTTCTGGTGTCATCGGCCATGTTTGTGTTGGTTGCTATCTCGTTCATAAAGACGACTAAATCTTGGAAATGTTTCGACATTAGCTGATATTCCGCAGTCAGAAGCGTGTTGAAGACCTCGAAGGCGAGCATGATCTGGTCTTCCTTGCCCGAGTCAATTGTGTCTTTCAAGACAGCAACCATGGAAGGGAAAATGTTTTGGAATGCCCTAATTGAAGCCTGGTCTTCTTCGGCATCGATCACGAGCGCCATCTTGGAGATGGCCAACAGGGTGTTGACTCGGACTTCCAGGCTCTCAGGGTCTTTGATTGTATTGCTGAACAATGCAAATAACTCTTTGAACTTCGAACTGAAGTCATCTCCCATAGTTTCTAGGATGCTATATAGCACGTGCACGCCAACCGCGCGCTCAGCGGCCTCTGAGCTGGTAGCAGCCTGCTGCAGCATGCCGGGCAGTTCGGGCCATTCGCCATCGTCGAGATCGATCTTTGCAATTGCACTTATCAGGCGGGATGAGGCGTGTCGGACGAGCGAGGAATGCTCAGCAAGAGTCGCCTGAAAGAGTTGTGTTCGGGCTTGTTGGCGCTGGTTGTTGGGGATTTTGGTCCAATGTTTAGAGACCAGCGGCTTGGCTTGGGTCGCAGCCAGTTGTTTGAGGTCTGCGCTTTCGTGTGAAATGGCGAGGTGGATCAAGGCGAGAAGGGACTCTGGCCGTTTGTAGTATTCGTTTTGGAGCACGCTCGTTGCAGCCTTGACGTTGCCCTTCTTGGGGTCGAGGACGATAGAGAGCTGCTCAAGGAATTTCTGTTCATCCATCGCTGCAGGGACAACCTGCGCCGCTAGCTGCGGTGGGTGAATCAATCACGGCAGGAAAGTCGAAAGAGGAGGAAATCTATATGATGTGAAAACCCAGAAGTATCAAAGCCAATGATCCGAGCACGGAGACCTGGAGAACACAACGTACAAGAGAATAGAACAAAGAAATTTTCGGCGCAGTCTCGAGGAATTTTTTTGGGCTCCAAAATCCCAAATGGAACCCGAAATCAACATCATAGCGCCGTCGTTTAAGCTTCACGCTAGGCCCCAAAAGGCTTGATTCAGTTCGGCGTTCCCCTCAATGCCAAGAATGATCACGTGAAACACCGAGAGCTTACCACGTGACGCATGTAACAAAGCTGACGTCCAAGCTTCACGTCAAGAAAACTTCCGTTCGCCCCCCTGCTTCTTCTGCGCCCCCATGGGAAACCGGCTCACCGGTTACCAATCACAACAACATGAACGCCCTAGCAATCGCTCGTCGAAACCAGCCACAGCCATCACCTATTCACCGAGCCGATGATGGTGCTCCAGGTTGGTCCAGTTAACCTACCAAGTCCCTAGGCCCCGACTCATCAACCCCCCCATCTGGCATATGAAGCCCAGCTCTTTCATCAACATCTTGCATTCTGCGGAACAACCCTCAGGCACTCAAGAAAACTTGGACCGAGTATTTTGCGGGTCCGTATCCTTTGTTTAATCCTGTTGCGATATTCTCCGCGTCCCCAAAGATTTTTCCTGTCGATTTTTGCCCCCCAACAATTTTCACTTTGTGGATAGAAACGGGCGTGGAGCCCGGAGAAAATTACCGGCGAGGCTAAGGAATGTATGCTTAGAAGGCCCCTAATCCTAAATCAAGTCCCTCCCTGAATATTGCAAAACAGCGGACATCATGGACCAACCTTGCGCTAATCGAACTCCCCCGCTCTCTGGATGGAAAAGGAAAGCATCCATCTCTCGTGGATCACCTCGTAAAGCCAGCGCTCGAAGAAGCCCATCCCTCATGTGCATCACGCCGGCTGCTAGGGCAAAAGGCAAGGTCTCCGGATTCGGAGCGCCCGATCTTCTCAGAGTAAAAATATCGAATGCCATTACCAGACATCTACTGAGTACGGTTTGGTTGGATCTTTTTTCCGCATTCATGTCCTATGTAAATGTGGAGGGTTGCCCTGTTCCTCCGAGGAGTGCCTAGTATAAGTATGTCGGGGCCCAGCAGCCCACCACGCAGAATTCGGATATCTTGTCCGCCGAATTCTGTCTCACCAGCTTCATCTGTTCCACCGACCGAACTTTGCTCATATTCTTGAGCCTCCTCCAAATTCGCGCCCTTTCAAGCATCCTCATCCGATGTCGCGCCCTCTATAGCATGAATTATCGGGCGAACTTTCACAACGAAGAGAGTCTTCCAACTTCCCAGATGAATTCATGGGAGTCACTCCATTTCCATGTCTCAACTGCTGGCACCGCGGCCGTCCCAAGGCGGCGAGGGTCCGCCGGAGCCTCCGTCCTCTCAACGCCATCGAAAAATATCCACCGCTTGCGGTGCCTGCAAGCAGAGGAAAACAAAGGTATATAGCGCACTCGCGGTATTCGCCAGCTGTCTCTGACCCAGACCAGTGCTCTGGGGGTAATCCTTGCGAGGCGTGTGCGGCGAGAAGAAGTCTATGCGTGTACGATGCAAGTTCAGATCAGCGTCGGAAAATTGCGAATCACCGAACGGTCCAAGAACTCGCAGACAAGCAGATCGCCCTCGAACGACATCAGCAGCTTCTAGGAGGAATAATCGCAACTGTGCGAGCGGGCAGTTTCAACGCAACCGACGACCTACTCCGTGTCATCCGCTCAGGTGTCGAGCTATCACAATTGGCGGCCCATGTTCGGAACGAAGTTCGGACGAATATCGCAATCCAGCAGGCTTTCGAACAGATTGAGTTCATCATCGACGGGGGGCCAGAATTGCCCTCACCAGCCCAGATGCAGGTTCTCTCAAACGAGGAGTCTCGTGGATCTGAGGACCAGAGCGACGCAAGTTCCAGCAATGCGTTATCCAGCGAGCAACAAAATCAAAATCTGGATAAGTTCAAACCGCCACGTTGAAGGAAATCATTCATGGCGAGAGAACTGAGACCAAGCGATATGTAAAAATGCTTGAAAACCCCTTTTCTCCGGAAATGTTCTACATGTCAACTGATGGTGGATACTACTATCGAATATATTGATGATGGGTCAACATCACGGTATTGAAGTCCACCTTGTCCGAGTATAACTTCCTTCTCTGTGAATCGATCAAGCTGACCCAAGTGCTAGGAGCAGAAGCGAAATTAGTTATTCGAGCTGCTTCGCTCCCACACAGGAGGCTGTGCAGAGGCTGCACCCACGTTAATCAAATTTGCAGCAGGATTTTTTCGGGCACGACATAGTCCGCGGTGCATACTCATTATCAGTAAAGGATTTGCGAATGAGACTAGAATTTGCACATGCGATATAGAAGGTGAAAAGAGCACGGTAGCGAGAGCTAATGCACATGCAGCGGCGGCCTTTCAGTTTGCGCAACCTCTGCTGGGAGATATTGGCCATGATAGACAGAAGATGGAGGACCCAGCAGTGGAATCCGACCAAGAGGCCAATATTCGTCCCTCTTGCGCTCGAAATCTTCGATGTAACCATCCAAAGAGTCCAACCATAGAGAAGCAGTGTCTTGACTATGCTTTCGGTGTGCGGGCCCAGTTTTACGATAGCTACGAGAACACACCTCGACACCATTGTTGATTGATTCTGGTCCTCTTGCCGGGATGTTGGCAAAGATACGCGAAAATACGCTCGTCAGACGGACGTCATGAAAACAACATCAGTCAGATAACTTTCTCACCGCAGTGGCCCGACGGACTCTGACCGTCCCGGCTGGAAAGTCACTTCAATAGCATATAAGAAGAGTGAGTGTTTTTGGCTGAAAAATGGTCGGAGTACATCTGGAGAAGACGTCGGGATTGTTACTTCTGCCCCGCCTGAAAAGGACCTAAAAAGCCCCTCATTCCATGCATGAAGCCTGTTCGCATGGCCTGAAAGGACAGAGGGGCTCATGCTCACGGGCAGATCTACAAGTATTCTCTACCAAACTTTGTACCCAGGCCATACCAGGACATACCTAGCTCGCGGCTCGCTAGGTGTGCTAGCTGACAAGGCGGATCATTTGATTAACCTCAGTCAGACGGATCAGAGAATCCCGCTTTGCTGCTTGTCAATGCGACCTAATCCTCGTCTGACCAAATACGTAAATTCTGGCATTGACACCACCAACTAACCCCTTCGATTTCCCTCCCCCTCCCCCTCAAGTCTATCTCACCCACCTGGCCACCCATTTGCCGCCATCACCTGTCCAGCAGCCTCTTCGCTTGTATTTTCCGGCTGGCTTGTGTAGAATCCGCCAAGTCTGCTGTCCTCCTCATTTCGAAAGAAGAGCTGATCAACCGACCATGACCCGTAAAATCCACGAACAACGACCCGTGGCGAGAGGCCAAGTGGCACAGGGCCACGCCACTGCTGATCCCCCCGACATCGATGTACCCTCCAAATCGAAACGGAACCAGTCATCGGCGCTACGACCAGCCTGGGAAACACTCCTGGTGATTCACCCGCGTTCCAAACTGAAAACACATCTTGTCCCCGCTGCCCACGGCCACGCCTTCGAGGTCAAAGCTTCGTCTCATTTCCGCATCGTTGACCTCCATGGCCAACAGGTAGTCGACTTCATGGCCTGGACCTTGCCCTACTCACCCGCCACAAATCCGGAACATTTTTCCACGAGCTACACGCGATATGCACTGGGAGGTTCCGCTCCTCCACAGGTAGGCGAGGCGCTGTACACGAACCAAGACCGCAAAATGTTTACCATAGTCGCGGACATGGTCAAGACCCACGATCTGCTTTTCATGGCTTGTAACCCGGGCTTTTACGCGCGCCGCGGCCAACCTATCCACCGCTCCTGTGCCACCAATGTTGCCGAAGCGATGAAACCCTGGGGCATGGAGCACTGGAGTGAAGTAGTTGATCCGTTCAATATCTTCCAGAATACTCCCTATTACACGATCAAGGCACTGAATTGTTCCAAGCCAGGAGATTTCATAGAAATGCGGGCGGAAGTGGATGCTGTTTGTGCGGTGAGCAGCTGTCCATTCGAAGGAGACGGGTTCAATGGTGGGAGAGCCACAGACATCGCGGTTGTGATCGAGGTTGATGAAGAGGACGATGAAGGGAAAGAGTGAAATCAGCTCATTCCTGAGCTCGCAATTTAGCTAGCTACACCTTGATTTAGCCCTCACACAATTCTCCAACAATTGTGCTTCATTGGCCTGGGCTTGATATTGCTGAGCCCATTCAGAGCTGCGCCAGATTGTACTTGTTCCCAGACGACCCTTCAGCATGTTGAAAGGCCCCCCCATGCTTTGAAAATGGAGCGTCGCAAATCCTCTCGCTGGGAAAGAGTTGAAAACGAAAGGAACTGTTTCGCCGTATCTAGGTCTGACGATGCTTGAAATAGCTCTCTTTCCACGTTGCATGATATTGCAGTCAATACTAGGGGCGGTTTCGACAAGACGGCCTTTCAGAATTCGCACTGCAGTGGGCCTATAGATCGACCAACATGCAATGCACGCAGCAGAGCCGTCTCCCCTTTTCTGCGGTGGCCTGATAGGAATCCGCCGCCAGTGCAAACCCCCTAATTCGAGTGTTGAACTCCAGCCTCGTCGAGGGACAAGTAACGCCAGGAAGAAACAATTTCGCCTGACCGGACAAATTTTCGTATCTTCCGCCGTCACAACCGCCAGATACGCTTCTGAGAGACGAATATCGGCGACTTGTGTCCCTTCCTCGAAGTTGATCATGGGACCATCTCATTACATATCTGGTATTTCCCTGGTCTTCTTGGACTTTTCTTGATGGTTGTAACCTTCTCCCAACAACAGACGCCGATAAATCCCTGATTGCAAAGGACTCAACGTTTG